TCTCATCCTTTCTCTCTCTGTTCACCTGTCATCCTTTCTCTGTTCACCTCTCATCCTTTCTCTCTCTGTCTGTTCACCTCTCATCCTTTCTCACTATTGTCTGTTCACCTCTCATCCTTTCTGTATGTTCACCTCTCATCCTTTCTCTCTCTGTTCACCTGTCATCCTTTCTCTCTGTTCACCTGTCATCCTTTCTCTCTGTCCTGTTCACCTCTCATCCTTTCTCTCTGTCTGTTCACCTCTCATCCTTTCTCTCTGTCTGTTCACCTCTCATCCTTTCTCTCTCTCTGTTCACCTCTCATCCTTTCTCTCTCGTGTCTTTTGCACTCTCTCATCCGTTCTCTGTCTGTTCACCTGTCATCCGTTCTCTGTCTGTTCACCTGTCATCCTTTCTCTCTCTGTCTGTTCACCTCTCATCCTTTCTCTCTGTCTGTTCACCTCATCCTTTCTGTCTGTTCACCTGTCATCCTTTCTCACTCTTGTCTGTTCACCTCTCATCCTTTCTCTCTCTGTTCACCTGTCATCCGTTCTTCTCTGTTTCACCTCTCATTCCTTTCTCTCTTTCTCTGTCTGTCACCTCTCATCCTTTCTCACTATTGTCTGTGTTCACCCCTCTCATCCTTTCTGTATGTTCCCTCTCATCCTTTCTCTCTCTGCTGTCACCTGTCATCCTGCTCTCTCTGTTCACACCTGTCATCCTTTCTCTCTGTCGGTCACGCTCTCATCCTTCTCTCTGCCCTGTTTCACCTCCTCATCCTTTCTCTCTCTCTGTTCACCTCTCATCCTTTCTCTCTCTGTCTGTTCACCTCTCATCCTTTCTCACTATTGTCTGTTCCACTCTCCCCTTTCTCATGTTCACCTCTCTCCTTCTCTCTCTGTTTCACCTGTCATCCTTTCTCTCTGTTCACCTGTCATCCTTTCTCTCTCTGTTCACCTCTCATCCTTTCTCTCTGTCTTTTCACCTCTCATCCTTTCTCTCTGTTCACCTCTCATCCTTTCTCTCTCTGTCTGTTCACCTCTCATCCTTTCTGTCTGTTCACCTCTCATCCGTTCTCTGTCTGTTCACCTGTCATCCTTTCTCTCTGTCTGTTCACCTGTCATATTTTCTCTCTCTGTCTGTTCACCTCTCATCCTTTCTCTCTCTGTCTGTTCACCTCTCATCCTTTCTCTCTGTCTGTTCACCTCATCCTTTCTGTCTGTTCACCTGTCATCCTTTCACTCTGTCTGTTCACCTCTCATCCTTTCTCTCTCTGTCTGTTCACCTCTCATCCTTTCTCTCTCTCTCTGTTCACCTCTCATCCTTTCTCTCTCTGTCTGTTCACCCCTCTCTCCGTCTCTCTCTGGGCTGTTCACCGCTCTCAATCCTTTCTCTCTCTGCTGGTGTTCACCTCTCATCCCCCTTCTGTGCTGTTCACCTCTCATCATTTCTGTCTGTTCACCTCTCATCCTTTCTGTCTGTTACACCTTCATCCTTCTCTCTGTCTGTTACCTGTCATCCTTCTCTCTCGGTCCTGTTCACTCTTCATCCTTTCTTTCTCTCTCTGTCTGTTCACCTGTCATCCTTTCTCTCTCTGTCTGTTCACTGGGTCTCGGTGCTCAGTCTTTCTCTCTCTGTTTTTCACCTCTCATCCTTTCTCTCTGTCTGTTCACCTCTCATCCTTTCACTCTCTTCTGTTCCACCTGTCATCCTTTCTTTCTCTCTGTGTCTGTTTCACCTGTCATCCTTTCTCACTCTCTGTCTGTTTTCCCTGTCAACCTTTCTCTCTGGTCCGTTCACCTGTATCCTTTCTCCTCTGGTTCACCTGTCATCCTTCTTCTGTTCACCTCCCGTCCATCCTTGCTCCTCTGTTCACCTCTCATCCCTTCTCTCGTCTGTTCACCTCTCACCACCTTTCTCTCTCTGGTCCGGTTCACCTCTCATCCTTTCGTCTGTTCACCTCTCTCCGTTCTCTGTCGTTCACCTGTCCTCCTTTCTTCTGGCTGTTCACCTGTCATCCTTCTCTCTCTTGTCTGTTCACCTCTCACCTTGTCTTTCTGTTCACCTCTCATCCTTTCTCTCTGTCTGTTCACTCATTCCTTCTGTCTGTTCACAACTGTCATCCTTTCACACTCTGTCCTGTTCACCCTCTCATCCTTTCTGCTGTTAACCTCTCATCCTTCGTCTGTTCACACCTCTCATCCTTTCTGCTGTTCACTGTTATTCCTTTAAGCTCTCTTTCTGTTCCCTGGCATCCCGTTCTCTCTCGGTCGTTCACCTGTCATCCTTTTCCTCTCTCTGTCTTTCACCTGTCATCCTTTCTCCTCTCTGTCTGGTCACCTGTCATCCTTTCTCTCTCTGTCTGTTCACACTTGTCATTCTTTCCTTCTCTCTGTCGTTTCACCTGTCCATCCTTTCCTCTCCTCTGGTCTTTCACCTGTCATCCTTTCTCCTCTCTGGCTGTTCACCTCTCATTCCTTGTCTCTCCTCTCTGCTGTTCACCTCTCATCCTTCTCTCTCCTGGCTGTTCACCTCTCATCCTTTCTCTCTCTGGCTGTTCACCTCTCATCCTTTCTCTCTCTGTCTGTTCACCTCTCATCCTTTCTCTCTCTGTCTGTTCACCTCTCATCCTTTCACTCTCTCTGGCTGTCACTCCATCCTTTCTCACTCTTTGTCCTGTTCACCGTCTCATCCTTTCTCACTCTTTGGTTTGTGCCCCCCCCCCCCCTGTTCACCTCTATTCGCATCCTTTCGCTCTCTTTGTTCACCTGTCATCCTTTCTTTCTCTCTCTGTCTGTTCACCTCTCAATCCTTTCTGTCCTGTTTCACCTCTCTCCTTTCGTCTGTCACCTCTCATCCTTTCTGTCTGTTCACGCCTCTCACCTTTCTCTCTGTCGGGTTCACCCATCTTTTCCTCTCTCTGTCTGTTCCCCTCATCTTTTCTCTCTCTGTCTGTTCACCTCTCATCCTTTCTCTGTCTGTTCACCTCATCCTTTCTGTCTGTTCACCTCATCCTTTCTCTCTCTGTCTGTTCACCTCTCAATCCTTCTCTTCTCCTCCCTCTCTGTTCACCTCCTCCTTTTCTCTGCTGTCTGTTCACCTCTCACCTTTCTCTCCTCTCTCTGTCTGTTCACCTCTCATCCTTTTCTCTCTCTCTGTTCACCTGTCATCCTTTCTCTCTCTGTCTGTTCACCTCTCATCCTTTCTCTCTCTCTCTCTGTCTGTTCACCTCTCATCCTTTCTCTCTCTGTCACCTCTCAATCCTTCTCTCTTTTCCTCTTCTGTTCACCTCTCTCCGTTCTGACTGTCATTTCACCTCTCATCCCTTTCTCTCTCTATCTCTGTTCACGCTCTCTCCTTTCTCTCTGTCTGTTCAGTTCACCTTCAAACACCTTTCATCCTTTCTCTCTCTGTCTGTTCCCTTTCATCCTTTCGCTCTCTGTTGTTCACCTCTATCTTTTCTCTCTCTGTTCCGTCTCTCGATCCTTTCCTCTCTGTCCAGTTTTTCATCCCTCTCATATTTATCCTCTCTGTTCAACCTCTCATCCTTTTCTCTCTGTCCAGTTCACCTCTCATCTTTCTCCTCTCTGTCATTCACTCCTCTCACCTTTCTGCTCCTGTCTGTTTCACCTCTCTTCCTTTCTCTCTGTCAGTCACCTCTCTTCCTTTCTCTCTGTCAGTTCACCTCTTCATCCTTTCTCTCGTCTCTTCAGTTTCACCTCTCATCCTTTCTCTCTTCTGTCCTGTTTCAACATTCATCCTTTCTCTCTCTGTCTGTGTCACCTTTCATCCTTCTCCTCGTCTGTTTCACCCCTTTCATCCTTTCTCTCTCTGGTCTTTTCACCTCTCATCTTTCTCTCTCTGTCACACTCTCATCCTTTCTCCTCTGTCAGTTCACCCTCTCATATTTTATCTCCTGTTCACCTTCTCATACCTTTTCTCTCTGTCAGTTCACCTCTCAGCCTTTCCTCCTCTGTCAGTTACCTCTCATCCTTATCTCTCTCTGTCTGTTCACCTCTCTTCTTCCTTTCTCTTCGTCAGTTCACCTCCCTCTTCTTTCTCTCTGTCCGTTCACCTCTCATCCTTGCTCTCTCTCTCTCCTCCCCTTCTCTCTCATTTTCACCCTCATCCTTTCTCTCTCTTTCAGTTTTCACCCTCATCCTTCTCTTCTTCTGTTCACCTCTCCTCCTTTTCTCTTTCTCTCTCTTTCTGTTCACCTCTCATTCCTTTTCTCCTGTCTGTTTCACCTCTCATTCCTCTTCTTTCTCTCTCTGTCTGTTTCACCTCTCATCCTTTCTCTCTCGGTCGGTTCACCTCTTCATCCCTTCTCTCTTTCTTGTCACCTCTCATCCTTCTCTCTCTGTCTGTTCACCGCTCAATCCTTTCTCCTCTCTGTCTGTTCCACCTCTCCTCCTTTCGCTCTCTGTCTGTTCCCCTCTCATCCTTTTCTCTCTGTCTGTTCACCTGTCATCCTTTCTCTCTCTCTATGTTCACCTGTCATCCTTTCTCTCTCTCTCTGTTCACCTGTCATCCTTTCTCTCTCTCTTGTTCACCTGTCATCCTTTCTTTCTCTCTCTGTCTGTTCACCTGTCATCCTTTCTTTCTCTCTGTCTGTTCACCTCTCATCCTTTCTTTCTCTCTCTGTCTGTTCACCTGTCATCCTTTCTTTCTCTGTCTGTTCACCTGTCATCCTTTCTTTTCTCTCTCTGTCTGTTTACCTGTCATCCTTTCTCTCTCTCTCTGTTCACCTCTCATCCTTTCTCTCTCTCTCTGTTCACCTCTCATCATTTCACTCTCTCTGTGTCTGTTCACATCTCATCCTTTCTCTCTCTGTCTGTTCACCTTCATCCTTTCTCTCTCTGTTCACCTGTCATCCTTTCTCTCTGTATCTGTTCACCTGTCATCCTTTCTCTCTCTGTCTGTTCACCTGTCATCCTTTCTCTCTGTCTGTTCACCTCTCATCCTTTCACTCTATCTGTTATCTATTACTTTTTTCAGCTGTTTTCTGTTTTGACAGGTGGACATGAATCAAGATCGACTCGTCAGCCTGGAAGAGTTCCTTAAATCAACAGACAAGAAAGAGTTCAACAGCCCTAAAGAATGGGATGTATGTAAGGGAGGGACTTTGGGTAGATTTATAGCTTGTGTGTTGCGTCATGTCAGACTCCACTCATATTCGTCTTCCCCATCCCTCCAGACTTTAGACGACACCAAGCCGGTGTTCACAGAGGCTGAGCTCCAGCGGTTTGAGGCGGAGCTGCGGACCAAGGAGGAGGAGCTGGGAAGGAGGGCGGAGTCTCTTCGTCAGGAGCAGGATCTGCTGAAGGAGAGGGGCAAGGCCCTGGAAGCCCAGAGACGAGAGTACCAACAGGTAGACAACCACTACTTACTCTACGTAGTGGTAATGGAGGATATCTATCTGTCCATCAATACACTGTGTATAGCCATACTATGAACAGCAAAATACTGTCAAATAAGCCATACTCTCACTATAGCGATTATACCGTCAATGAAATATGAAACTATGAGTAGCCATATGATTATTATTGAAGGAATTATGACTCAGAAATGTTTCTCTGATTCTGTCAGGCAGTACTAGAGATGTCTCAGAGGAAGGAGAAACAGGCAGTGGAGGGGCAGCCTCCTACGGGTCCTAACGGAGAACTACAGTTCCACCAAGAGATGCAGAAACTGGAAGATCAAGGTAAATGAGATGGGAGGAGTTTAAAAAGAGCGGGATGGAGTGAGTTGGGGACATTTTTGCTTTTGTCTCCTTCTTTCAGTAATGGAATGTTCTCTCTCGCGCTCTCATTCAGGTGCTAAAGCTCCTGTTGAACAAGAAGTCCAAGAGGCCCACAATAACCTGCCTGCAGAACCACCACAGAACCTGCCCATACACACCTAATACAGCACTCTGATACACATAGGGTTGCAAAGGGAGGGTAGGGTTGCAAACTTTCACATAGGGTTGCAAACTTTCTAAGTTTACCAGTAAACTACCAGAATTTTGGTAACTTTCAAGGAATATATGGAATTTCATCAGATGACATCTAGTGTCCTTCTTTGGTACTTCAGATTATCACAGGTGTCTTTGAGCATGGTTACATTCACACAATAACACAATTTTGTTTAAAACATTTACATGTTTGCAAGAAGAAGGATTTCCCTAATAATCCTGTTTACATGGACACATCTGAAATGCGGCTACTGATGGGACAATCTAAAAAAAACGTTTGACCACAGTGGCCATGTTATTTTTGCAAAACCTTTTTGATTGTGAGTTGGGACATATAAAGTTTGTATGTGAAAACTATTTCTAATGTGCATACTTTGTTTTTCCAAACTCACTTTACTCGTGCATAAGAGAGCGGGAGTCTTGCGTTACTGGTGCTGGCACATGCTCAGATCACACAGCTAGAATGCCGATTTAAGGTGTTTACATGCCCTAATCATTCAAAAGATTGCTCAGAAAACCAGATGTTTTAATCGGCGTATGCTTGCTTAGATATGGACCGTACGCCGATTTAAGATAAGCAGAGTAAGGTGTTTACATGACTATTTCCATACTAGGCCTACTGCCATAATCAATTTAATATCGAATTATTAGTGCGTATGTAAATGTATTCATGAATTATCTCTTGCCCTCTGTGTGGCCTTATCACATGTAAAATATATACATTAATCGAATAAGATGTTTTTAAAATAACAAATAAAATGACAACGCTGTAAAACATCCTAAATATAAACCATCAATTTAGTGAATGCCATTAGTGTTTAATATGAGGTTTTCAGAAAATATCCTTTGTATTTCTTTTACACACTTTTTATTTTACTATGTCTTTGTTGTAAATGTATTGGGGCCAAACTGGTGACAGTTGGAAACAGTAGTTGGAAAAGTTTGCGGAGTTAATTGAAAATAATGCAATTGTTGATTAGATGCTTTTTTCATTAATTAGGCTGTTTTCTCTTGAACCATAGTCTATCCACTAGAAACTCATGGACGATATGGACACAGATATAAAAATGTTATACTATATATGAATAAAAAATGTTTTAGTTAAAGTATAAATTACCAAAGTTACCATAGATTGCCATAGATTACCTGTTAATTACCAATATTAGAGGATTCCAGTAAGTTTGGTAAAATACTGGTAGCTTTGCAACCCTAAATAAACACACACACACTCTCACAGGAACACATCTCTTTCACTGACACACATATCCAGATGGTTCAGCAGATTACATCATACAGCACAAGTGTACAACCCCAGTCAGTCAGTCAGTCAGGCACATCGTATCGTCCCCTACCTATCTCTGGTTTACATTTTATCTCAATAAATTATTCAACTCACTGGACCTAGCCTTCTTCATTTGAAATTCTCTGTCAGGCCTGTGAAGTGACAGTCTACAGAGGACTACACTATTCTGTCCTTATGTTGTCTGTCTGTGTGTTGTATACCTAGCTTGCTATTTCCACTGTTTCCCCCCCAAATGTCACATTTCTGATTCGTGACCTCTAACCCTTTCCCAGATGAGGTACATTGTTTAATTCCCCTGCCCTTCTGCCCTCACACACTCCTCTAGTTGACCTTTGACCTCTCATGCCAATAACTGATTTGTCTATTGGTCGCTGGGATCTTGCATGTTTCTGTGCATTGTTGTTTTTCCAGCCTTATCCCTTTTGGCATCGCCCTTCTTATTTTAAATGTAATTTAAACATTCTGTTGAAGGAATGAATCCCTTAGTTGTCTCTGTACTGTACTGTGCTCTCTCCTTTCCTCTGCTGTTGTCCAGTGGTATGGTTCCCTTGGGAGTATGTGCTCATCCTTGTTGTTGTCCCATGGAATGGGTCCCCTGGCACACAGTGCATTCCTACCCTGCATTCCACTCACCCCCTGACCCCCGGTGACCTCAATGATGTCCTCACTGCCCCTCCTCTCTGGGTGGCCATGCAGCTGTCAGCTGTCAATCACTCTGCTGGTGGTGACATCACTGCTCAGGGATGGACACATCTGTGTGTTTAGCAACATCTGAAAGTAAACTGTCATATTTCTTCAAAATGTTATATTTTTTATTCTCATTCTGGTAGTAAGTGAGAAAAGTCTGTGACAACATAAAGGAGAGACAGCTGGATGTGATCTCAAGTTATGAGCAACATACAGTGGGGAAAAAAAGGATTTAGTCAGCCACCAATTGTGCAAGTTCTCCCACTTAAAAAGATGAGAGAGGCCTGTAATTTTCATCATAGGTACACGTCAACTATGACAGACAAAATGAGGAAAAAAATTCCAGAAAATCACATTGTAGGATTTTTAATGAATTTATTTGCAAATGATGGTGGAAAATAAGTATTTGGTCAATAACAAAAGTTTCTCAATACTTTGTTATATACCCTTTGTTGGCAATGACACAGGTCAAACGTTTTCTGTAAGTCTTCACAAGGTTTTCACACACTGTTGCTGGTATTTTGGCCCATTCCTCCATGCAGATCTCCTCTAGAGCAGTGATGTTTTGGGGCTGTCGCTGGGCAACACGGACTTTCAACTCCCTCCAAAAGATTTTCTATGGGGTTGAGATCTGGAGACTGGCTAGGCCACTCCAGGACCTTGAAATGCTTCTTACGAAGCCACTCCTTCGTTGCCCGGGCGGTGTGTTTGGGATCATTGTCATGCTGAAAGACCCAGCCACGTTTCATCTTCAATGCCCTTGCTGATGGAAGGAGGTTTTCACTCAAAATCTCACGATACATGGCCCCATTCATTCTTTCCTTTACCCGGATCAGTCGTCCTGGTCCCTTTGCAGAAAAACAGCCCCAAAGCATGATGTTTCCACCCCCATGCTTCACAGTAGGTATGGTGTTCTTTGGATGCAACTCAGCATTCTTTGTCCTCCAAACACGACGAGTTGAGTTTTTACCAAAAAGTTCTATTTTGGTTTCATCTGACCATATGACATTCTCCCAGTCCTCTTCTGGATCATCCACATGCACTCTAGCAAACTTCAGACGGGCCTGGACATGTACTGGCTTAAGCAGGGGGACACGTCTGGCACTGCAGGATTTGAGTCCCTGGCGGCGTAATGTGTTACTGATGGTAGGCTTTGTTACTTTGGTCCCAGCTCTCTGCAGGTCATTCACTAGGTCCCCCCGTGTGGTTCTGGGATTTTTGCTCACCACGGGGTGAGATCTTGCATGGAGCCCCAGATCGAGGGAGATTATCAGTGGTCTTGTATGTCTTCCATTTCCTAATAATTGCTCCCACAGTTGATTTCTTCAAACCAAGCTGCTTACCTATTGCAGATTCAGTCTTCCCAGCCTGGTGCAGGTCTACAATTTTGTTTCTGGTGTCCTTTGACAGCTCTTTGGTCTTGGCCATAGTGGAGTTTGGAGTGTGACTGTTTGAGGTTGTGGACAGGTGTCTTTTATACTGATAACAAGTTCAAACAGGTGCCATTAATACAGGTAACGAGTGGAGGACAGAGGAGCCTCTTAAAGAAGTTACAGGTCTGTGAGAGCCAGAAATCTTGCTTGTTTGTAGTTGACCAAATACTTATTTTCCACCATAATTTGCAAATAAATTCATTAAAAATCCTACAATGTGATTTTCAGGATTTTTTTTCTCAATTTGTCTGTCATAGTTGACGTGTACCTATGATGAAAATTACAGGCCTCTCTCATCTTTTTAAGTGGGAGAACTTGCACAATTGGTGGCTGACTAAATACTTTTTTTCCCCACTGTAAGTTATATATGATCGTGACCATTTTGAACGTCTTCTATACGGTTGGACAACATGCAGTACCAGAGCAACACAGCAGATGATGGTAGACACACTGATCAAGCTGAGTGTCCCTCACACAGATTTATGTAACTGTCTTTACTTTTTTATCTAAAAAGGAATAATTTTTTTGCTTTGATATTTACAGCTCCTCGCCTCCATGTTGGGGGGGGGGGGGGGGGGGGGTTACTTGATGAGTTGGTTATGAAAGTGACCTGTGTTACCTTGTTCTTATGTGTCCAATGTCCATAGCCTGAGGCACAGCACAGCCTCTGTTCTCATGTCTTAGTTCTCTGAATAGAACAACTGACTGTCTGTCTGTCTCTCTGCCTGTGACCTTTGGAATCCCCAATGAACCCCACTGGAACCTCAAGGAATCACCAGTTAATAATAGGAAATTATACCACTATGGAATGATACTAGTATTAGATATAGTACTGATGCTGCTGACACATGATGGCTTCTTCTCCATCATCATCTCCAGATCAGAGCGCCTGTAATTAGGCCATGGTGCAGTATCCATATTGACCTGCAGAGGGAGACATTGAGTCAGTGCAGAAACAGCACAAATGTGGAAAGATATGGACACAGAGTACTTTCTGTCATTAGCCTCTCTCTCCTATTGAGAGCTTTGTATAAAAACACCCATACATTTGGGCTGTTTACCAAAACAATATGCCTACAGATCAATAAAATGACATAAAAAAACATGAACAGTTACTCTCTGCTGTGAGTCAAATGATATGGGATCAATCTCCATCACAGAAAAATGTCCAGTCTCACTGATCCGGATGGGATTTCTGTTAGACATTGTCCTGAGCTTGGAATAGCTATTCTAAGTAGTTTAAAAGCATTGTGCCAATTCACAGTGCTTCTCATTGGTCACACTAATGAGTGGTCAGGCACTGCATCGCAGTGCTAGCTGTGCACTAAGATCTGGTATCAGGCCTTCTAGCGCCGCGAAACCCAGGGGGGGACAATGCCAGAACCAGGGTAGGGAGGAATGGCGCAGGGTGTAGCTCATAGCAGGGTGTTTGCAAGCCGGTTGTGGGTTCGTCCAGGGGGCCAGTTGAAAAATATAATATAATGTATCATACTGTGCTCGGGTAAAGGTCTGCGAAATGACTAAATGTAAGTCTGGGAGGCATCAGTGACAGCCAGTCCTCTCCCTGCAACAGCAAGGTATATGACAGAGTTGCTGAAACCTGTTGTGTCATATGTGTCCTATCCATTGTCACTATCTGCACACTGTGGAATCTCAGAGAGCAAGTCTTTGGAACAATAGCAGTATTTGTGATTTGGCATGAGATGGACGAGGGATTTAAATGTTGGTAATGGGCAGATCAAGTGTCTTCTCAATAAGGTCTTTGGCCAAAGAGTGGTGGATTACAAATGTATCTGAAGGAAAGAAGAGAAAGGGCATCAGGGGAGACAGGGACTGAGGATCTGTTTGGCCCCTCTGAGGTCAGACTGCTGCCACCTCTGGTCTGACCCTGACCTTAGTCTGACCTGGAAGGAAGGAAGGGGGGGGGGGGGGGGGGGGGGGTGTTATGATAAACTATGCAATGGACTCACTTTTCTGTCTGACAATTATTGGTTTTGACATCACATCTGTCCTTATCTGAAGTGGGGACCAGCAGACATACTCAGATGATTGACACATTAATTCTACTGAGTGCCTCGGCAATAGCTTTCTGTCTCTTCTCCAAAGGAAAGATTATTGCCTATTTGAATGCTCTCTCTGTGCATTACAGTGACATCATCCTCTAAGAGAAAATTACGTCATCCCTTCCGGGACTCTTCTAACCACCCCAACCAATTGAGCTGAAACCAATTTAAATGTATTCTATTGGCTCTGCCAGTTCCAGAAACCGCCTTCTCTTGCCTTCGGTTGGTTGAAGTGTAACCGGTGCCCTGTGGTGATTGGTGTCAACTGCACATCAGTCTGTGCGTCCGACCACGAAAAGAATACAGGGTGGAGATGACTAGCGGGTAATTTGGTTTTGACATTTATAGACTGTTTGCATTTCTGTAGAAATACGTTCAAATCCATGATATACACAGTTTAATTTAGAAAAGATCCGAAAAGAACACAGCATTTGATCATAAACCATATTTAGGCCTGAACATTTAAGGACCCACTCTGCACAACAAAACATTAAATGGTGAAATATGTTCAAGAAAAAACTGAATATTTGGGATATACATAGCTTTATTGTGTGTGTGTTAGTAATAGGTGAGTTTTGAACTGTGAATGACGCAGTTCTCTTACTAGACACCAGAGGGGGAGGATGTTTCACTGTAGCCTACAATATGAGGCTATAGAAGTTATTAGTCCTTCTCTGATTTCCATACATGTCGGGTCTAACATTGAATGTGAGTGTAATTTTAATGTGTCAATGTAAAAAAAAATCACGACTGTGCCCTCATGAGTGTGTGCGCGCGCTCCCATGCATGATCAATAAATTGTATAGCCCGGCGTGCGTGAGTGGGCGCGTGAGAGCTACGAGATTGTTGCTTTAAGACCCAGCACCTTTTCATCCGAGGGAGGGAGGAGAATGAGGAGAGGGAGAAAGACTGGGATTGTCTATGGTGAGGTGTAACGTCGCTCGCGCCCAGTGCCATCGTTTACATGTGTGAGAAGGGAGAGGAAAGGGGGTTTGCTGGCTGGCAACCGGATTTTCACGGCGATACGACTTTTAACGGCGAGATGCTCCTATGGGGTAAATGGGAATTATGTATTTTTTGCTTTCGATGATGATAAGGGTGAGATAAGATAATGAATACAACATTGGTATCTGACATTTAATTAATGTTGTGAGATAGAGCTGTGCATGATCTGCCAGCTGTTTATGAGGAGGGGGATGGAGAGGGGGCGAGGCGGTTTGGTGTAAACGCCTAACATTCGGTATAACGGGATGCTTCATTGCCTACAATAGAATTGGGACATTTAAGAAGAATGCACAATCTTTCATTTGTGCGTGTAGCCTTTATTTCGTTTGTCGAATAATTTGCATAGAGGCCATCGGAAGGAAATTGGATGGGAGGAGGCTATAGGCTACATAGCCTAAATACATGACATATTCTGTTTTATTTTTTTCACGTCGCTTTTCTGTTGTGACAGTGGTTTTAATTTATTAGGCCTAACATAGACCCTTCTCGCTAAATATATTTTCAGATTGTAGCATACATAGTGTGAGACAGAGGTTATTGTGAGACAGAGATATATTCCCTACTACAGACTACACATAGTCCATAATTACAATGATGACAATTTAAATTCATATACATTATGAGACTGCCCCGCATAAATACATGTCTGTCTGTCTATCTCTGTAGGCTATTAAGGGCTACATCCGGCTCGCTTATTTTACCCATGATCCCCCTACTGAACGAGATGGCCAGGCTAAGGCTACAGCGTAACCCTCCATGACTCTAGTTTCCGTAGATAAACGCGCATCCATGATTAGCATTATGACTAATAGGCTGTATAAGAGCAGAGACGGATGGATACATAGCTTCAGACAGACGTGTGCAACGGAGTAGGTTGCCGTGGAGGCTGGACAGAATTAATGCAATAGGCTCCTATATGTATTCTCCTGAATAGTCATTGTGGTGGAATAGAGATAGGTGTGTGTGTGTTTATTTGCTGTCCAATGAATGTGTGAAGTGTGTGTGTGTGTGTGTGTGTGTGTTTGTGTGCATGTGTGTGTGTATTTTGGAAAATATTGGTAGTGGAGGTTGATTAGACAGAAATTTTTTTCATCAAGTCAAATGCTTACAATGTGCAATACCTAAGCTACAGTAGTCGTCTTAATTATCTGGACTGCTCTGTAAACAGCTGCTCCCAACTGGCTATGATAGATTTTATTTAGTAATTTCATCTGGTTTTGTGTCTGTACTGGCCACCCCATCATCTCACCTGGTCCACCCACATCTCAGAGAAGGGGTTCTCCACTTCCTCCTCTTTCGGCCTGGATTGTCTTTATGATGTCGGTTACTAACAAACTGTTCTCTAAAATCTGTGGCATTATTAGATGCAAGTATGAGGCTCTTTCATCTTGTCAATTACAATGATATAAGGTGTTTTAGGGACCCTCCTATGCCATATGATGGGATTGAGAGCCTTGAGAGTTGAATTGAAAAACAGTATAATTTCTCTTCTTGTTTTCTATCACCTTTTTCTCTCTTTTCCAGCTGCTTCTCTCATCTGTCTGAAGACCACCCTGGGGCGTCCGAGGCCCTCCACTACACCTGCCCTCCCTCTTGTCCCTTCCCTAAACCCTTAGACACCCCCCATGGACTCCTCCTAACTTTGGGAACCTAACTGCACCCCACCCAAAGACACACACCACACCCCAAAGGTACCTCACAATTACCTAGGCTCTGTCACTCAGCCAGACTCACTGAGACAACCAATCAGTTGCTATTAGGACAAGCAGAGAGCCAATCAGGTGTTTGCCAGACACAGCAGAGCTATTCCTGTGGGAGCAATACATCCAAAGGAGCTAATTAGGTGAAGCCAGGAAGTAGAGATGAGGAAGTAGCAAGGTACAGAGTGACAAGCCGTTAACCAACCAAACACAGGCTTGTTAATGATGACTGTGACGTCTTATTCATAGAGAGGAGAGGTACAGAGGAGAGAGAAGAGTAACAGAGTGCCACCTTTCTGCTTGCCTGTCTACCAACCTCTCTCACGTAGTAACAGGAGAAAAGGACAAGGACACAAACAAAAGAGAGAGAGAGACCAAGGGCCAAAGCTAGGCAGAGAGAAAAAGAGAGAGAGAGACAAAAGAGAACAGAGTGCCAACACACCTTACCTCAGACAAACATACACACTTCCAAACATTCCGTGGGCCCCTTGAAGCAAATTCTCCCGGAACCACTCCCACACTCTCTCCACCGACACCCACCGACACCCACTAACTCTCAGCTAACACCCCACACACTCCAGTCCTCTCCCACACACTCTCCGGCCTCAAGATGATGTGCGAGGTGATGCCAACCATCTCTGAGGATGGGCGTGGCGGGAGTGGAGGAGGGCCTTCCTCTCCGGGAGGGAGTGGCGGGGGAATGGGAGGCGGTATGGGAGGCATGGGGGGTGGGTACGGGGGCAGAGGGGAGCCCCGGGGTGGAGGTGACGAGGGGGGCAGCACGGGGAACCTGGAGTCTCTGATGGTGAACATGCTGACTGAGAGGGAGAAGCTGCTGGACAGCCTGAGGGAGACCCAGGACAGTCTGGGGACGGCCCAGCTTCGCCTCCGAGACCTGGGCCATGAGAAGGACTCCCTCTCGAGACAGCTGTCCATCGCCCTGCCACAGGTACACACAGGGGGAGGGAGGGTGTGTCTGTGTGCACGTTCGTGTGTTCGTGCTTGCGTGTGCACTTGCGTATGTGACTCCTGTGTGTGTGTGTTTCTTTGTGTGCATCCGTGTGTGCATGCTTGAGTTTTTGTGTGTGTGTGTCGTATGTGTGTTTACATGGTAAGTGTGAGATCTGGACAAAGAATCTATAGAGACCTTCCTGTTGCCTCGCTACAAACACATTGTGAGTGTGAAAAAGAGAGAGTGAGTGTATACAGTGCGTTCGGAAAGTATTCAGACCCCTTGACTTTGTTCACATTTTGTTACGTTACAGCCTTATTCTAAAATGGATTAAATACAAAAATTCCTCATCAATCTACACACAATATCCCATAATGACAAAGTGAAAACAGATTTTTAGTAAAAAAAGAAAAAACTGAAATACCTTATTTACACCTGTCTATATAAGGTCCCACAGTTGACAGTGCATCTCAGAGCAAAAACCAAGCCATGAGGTCGAAGGAATTGTCCGTAGAGCTCTGAGACAGGATTGTATTGAGGCACAGATCTGGGGAAGGGTACCAAAACATTTCTGCAGCATTGAAGGTCCCCAAGAACACAGTGGCCTCTATCATTCTTAAATGGAAGAAGTTTGGAACCACCAAGACTCTTCCTAGAGCTGGCCGCCCGGCTAAACTGAGCAATCGGGGGAGAGGGGCCTTGGTCAGGGAGGTGACCAAGAACCCAATGGTCACTCTGACAGAGCTCCAGAGTTCCTCTGTGGAGATGGGAGAACCTTCCAGAAGGACAACAATCTCTGCAGCACTCCACCAATCAGGCCTTTATGGTAGAGTGGCCAGACGGAAGCTACTCCTCAGTAAAAAGCACATGACAGCCCGCTTGGAGTTTGCCAAAAGGCACCTAAAGGACTCTCAGACCATAAGAAACAAGATTCTCTGGACTGATAAAACCAAGATTGAACTCTTTGGCCTGAATGCCAAGAGTCACATCTGGAGGAAACCTGGCACCGTCCCTACGGTGATGGTGGTGGCAGCATCATGCTGTGGGGATGTTTTTCAGTGGCAGGGACTGGGAGACTAGTCAGGATCGAGGGAAAGATGAACGGAGCAAAGTACAGAGAGATCCTTGATGAAAACCTGCTCCAGAGCGCTCAGGACCTCAGAATGGGTTAAAGGTTCACCTTCCAACAGGACAACGACCCTAAGCACACAGCCAAGACTATGCAGGTGTAGCTTCGGGACAAGTCTCTGAATGTCCTTGAGTGGCCCAGCCAGAGCCCGGACTTGAACCCGATCTAACATGTTTGGATAGACCTGAAAATAGCTGTGCAGCGACACTCCCCATCCAACCTGACAGAGCTTGAGAGGATCTGCAAAGAAGAATGGGAAAAACTCCCAAAATACAGGTGTGCCAAGCTTGAAGTGTCATACCCAAGAAGACTCGAGGCTGTAATAGCTGCCAAAGGTGCTTCAACAAAGTACTGAGTAAAGGGTCTGAATACTTATGTAAATGTGATATTTCCGTTTTTTAGTTTTAATAAATTTGCTGAAATTGATAAAAACCTGTTTTTGCTTTGTCATTATGGGGTATTGTGTGTAGATTGATGAGGGAAAAAAACTATTTAATCAATTTTAGAATAAGGCTGTAACGTAACAAAATGTGGAAAAAGTCAAGGGGTCTGAATACTTTCCGAATTTACTGTAGCTATCTCTGTATTGTCACGTGTAATTGCACTCCATATGTTTCAGTAGCTGTGTGCCTGAGATAATGTACAGTCATTGCTAAATGGTCGTTTATGCTCAGACTTTAACATTATGGTTATGGTTTTATGTGGCTTCTCTTATCCATACTGAGCTATTGTGGGATCTACTGGACATACCAATGAGCTGTTCAGTTTTGTACTGAGTTGTTACATCTGTACTTATACCGTTATGTTCTTGTCTGTTCTAGTTGGGATGTGGTTGTTCCTGCTCATACTGACCACTTCTGATGCATATTGAGCAGGGCTGTGGCAGAATCATGACTTAGACATGATAACAGACTGTTACATATTATTGGCGGTTCCATTCGATTTAGTAAAGGACCTCTATAATACCCAGGCCAATATTAGCCCACATCCTTATGCCCGTGGAGTAATCATTCTAGTGTGACGGACTCCACTGAACATGCGAAGAGGACTCCATCTTGGATTTCTGACAGGCAGTCTCCCTGGATGCCTAAGTGGAGTGATGCGGTTTATTTTGTTAGAACCCATATATTCTCTAAACTATTGGAAGGAATAACAGATGTGATAGGGCAGTGTGTTCTCACCGAGAATGACTGGACATTAAAGGGCCATATTACCTCACTGAGAGGGGGATCAATATGGTGCACACATCTGCAGACACACACATACACACGATGCGAGCAGCACAGAGCGCTGTGATAGATTCAACACTAGCGCTAGCAGCACAGAAGGTTCATTGAGTGCGTCTGCTCAGAGTGTGGCGCCACTGCCTAGAGAGAGAGGAGAGGGAGAGTGGAGAGAGAGACAGTTTGATGGAGAGAGATGGATGCAGAGTGAGAATAAGAGCATGGTACAGAGATAAAACTGGTGGTATGAAACACACACACAGACTAACAAATCAGGCCAATTTGCATATTGCTGCATACTAATGATGGAGCTACTGGCGTCTATTCTAAGGTGTTCTGGGTTATCACATGGAGAGATAGAGATGGATGAAGGATTGTGAGGATGAGAGTGCAGTAGGCCTAGTGAGAGGATGAGAGGGAGAGATGGAGGCTCGGTACAGTCGAGAGACACCTTGAGGTAGTTTATGATCACATTGTGTCTTGGACTGGGGAGGGGGAGTGAAACAGGGAGAGAGAGAGAGAACTCTAGAGAGAGAAAGCATAGAATTGTGGGATATTGGTGCCAAAAGCTGTCTCAAACCATTTTCAGCTAGAATCAATCCCAGAATTTGAAGTTCCTATGGGTCTGCCGTGTGCCATCTGTACATGGCTCTCCCATTTCTCCTGTCTCCTGTTTCCCTTTTCCCCTGTCCTCTTTTTCCCTTTCCCCTGTCCTCTTTTTCCCTTTTCTCCTCAGTCTCCTCTATCAGTAGTTACCACTGATGTGCACACTGACAGCCCAGTCCCTAATATCACTGAACACAATAATCAACAGTGTTATGTTATAATGCTCCAGGGCATGTAGAATTACACCATATACTGTAAGAGCTGGACTAAGCACCACTGCCTCTCAGTGGCCAGCCTTCACATGCTCCAGGACACAGGCGGTTGCATGCTTTTCCTTACTGTGACACTGATAGTGAATGTGTGTCATGGCTTGATCACGCACGGGTAAATTTAATCTAAGCCAAGATGGGCGACAGGACAGAGGATGGTACAGTGGCATATGTGGCTATATGTCAGCGTACACAACATGGCTGGCCACGCCACAACAGAATGGCCATGAGGTGTTCACTGGAGTGTTATGAACAACCCAGGCCAGGCCAGGAACATAGACATTATCTGCTCCCAGATATACATAGTTGGAAACTCAACGTCATACTATAGTCAACTCAGTTATGAGTTTTTATGTAAGGTGGCACTATTAATGGTGTTTGTGTGTCACGGGGGGGTGTCAGTAGAGACTGGTGGGAGGAGCTATAGGAGGACAGGCTCATTGTAATGGCTGGAATGGAATATATGGAACGGAGTCAAACGTGGTTTCCATATCTTTGTGTATGATACCATTCCATCGATTCCATTCCAGCCAATACAATGAGCTCGTCCTCCTATAGCTCCTCCCACCAGCCTTCACTGGTGTGTGTGTGTGTGTGTGTGTGTGTGTGTCACACCAGTGTGTCACAGGTCTGTAATTAAAGGCTTGTTTGGTATTTACATATTTGGTATTTCTTGTTGAAGTGTTTTTGTTCTTAATTGTATCTTGTTGAGCTGTTCATGTTTGTAATTGTGCTGTATGTATGTGTGTTAATGTACTGTATATGATTATGGCTTCATGCAGTGTATTGTGAGTAACGCCGCCCCCTTGTGTCTCTGCAGGAGTTTGCAGTGCTGACCAAAGAGCTGAATGTCTGCCGGGAGCAGCTGCTGGAGAGAGAGGAGGAGATAGCAGAACTCAAAGCAGAGAGGAACAACACACGGGTTAGTCAATCTGTTTCTGTGTGTGTGTGTGTGTGTGTGTGTATGCGTGTGTGTGTGTGTAGAATTGTGGGCTTGAGTGTATGTCTTTGTGTCTGTTGATGTGTGTATGTCTATTCATGCATGCATATGTTTACGCTTGAGTATGTCTGTATACCTATATGTTATACAGTTCAGTTCATGTAGATCAGATCCTTATTCCAAGTGTCCCCTGCTCTCTGTGTGTCTAGCTGCTGCTGGAGCATCTGGAGTGTCTGGTGTCTCGTCATGAGCGCAGTCTGAGGATGACAGTGGTGAAGAGGCAGGCCCAGTCTCCAGCCGGGGTCTCCAGCGAGGTGGAGGTCCTCAAGGCCCTCAAGTCCCTGTTCGAACATCACAAAGCCCTGGACGAGAAGGTGTGTGTGATGTATGTGTGTGTGTGTGCATGTATGTGTGTGTGTGTTGCAAAGGGCTGGACAAGAAGGTTAGTCTGGGTGCTAAATGGAGGAGTGAGTGGGCTGGCTCCACATGATTTCTTCTTAACCTTCTGTACTAACATCCACCTCTCTCTCCCCTTCCCTCCCACTCTCTTTCTCTCTTTCCGCTATCTCGTCTTTCTCTCCCCCTTTGTCTGTCTGGGACTTCCTTAGGTGCGAGAGAGGTTACGTGTGGCTCTGGAGCGAGTGACTCTTTTAGAGGAAGAGCTGGAGTCCTCCTCAAATGAGGTGAGTTATCCTCCTCTACTCATTCTCCTTTTCCTTTCCACAGATAAAGCATATTTTCTAAACCTTTCTGTTCTCCATCTCTACCTAGTGCCATTCCTTAAGAGACCAAATCAAAAGACGACAACAAGGCTTGGAAAATGGGAAAGAGGTGAGGGGATTTATGCTTTATTGGCTGAAGTAAATGTTGAAGTATTAGTGTCACATGTACTGCATATATAGTTTGCTTTGAGTTTAAGGAGTGACATCACATTTCCATATTTACATGATCTTGTATTTTCCTTGTCATTTTCCTCTCCTTCTTCCTTTTACAGCGGCTGCCCAATGGACCCTCCTCCATCCTGGATGATGGAGAGATTGACAGAGAGAGACAGAGAGAAACAGAGATAGAGCGGCAGAGAGCAGAGCTGGCCCAGCTGAAAGAAAGACTGGCCCTCATGTGCAGACAGGTGAGTGACAAATAGAGATAGAGAGAACTATTTATGTAATGTATTACACAGTTTTAGACATACTTACACCAGACTTACATGTGTTTTAAGGAATATGACTTTCATAGATGTGATACTGACCCAGATAGTGGCTTCTTGTGTGTAACTATTATGTCACCCTCCAGGTTGGGGAGATCGAGGAACAGCTGACTGCAGCTAGGAGGGAGGTGACCAAGTCAGAGGAAGCCAATCAGAAACTGCAGAGGGATGTGAAGGAGGTGAGCCATACTTCCCAATTGGTTGAAAATACACGTGTGTGTCAGCATCTCATTGTTCTAATGGTAGGTTTATTTGAACAGTGAGAGACAGAATAACAACAAAAAAATCCAGAAAAACGCATGTCAAAAATGTTATAAATTGATTTGCATTTCAATGAGGGAAATAAGTATTTGACCCCTCTGCAAAACATGACTTAGTACTTGGTGGTAAAACCCTTGTTGGCAATCACAGAGGTCAGACGTTTCTTGTAGTTGGCCACCAGGTTTGCACACATCTCAGGGGGGATTTTGTTCCACTCCTCTTTGCAGAACTTCTCCAAGTCATTAAGGTTTCGAGGCTGATGTTTGGCAACTCGAACCTTCAGCTCCCTCCACAGATTTTCTATTAGATTAAGGTCTGTAGACTGGCTAGGCCACTCCAGGACCTTAATGTGCTTCTTCTTGAGCCACTCCTTTGTTGCCTTGGCCATGTGTTTTGGGTCATTGTCATGCTGGAATACCCATCCACGACCCATTTTCAATGCCCTGGCTGAGGGAAGGAGGTTCTCACCCAAGATTTGACGGTACATGGCCCCGTCCATCGTCCCTTTGATGTGGTGAAGTTATCCTGTCCCCTTAGCAAATAAAACACCCCCAAAGCATAATGTTTCCACCTCCATGTTTGACGATGGGGATGGTGTTCTTGGGGTCATAGGCAGCATTCCTCCTCCTCCAAACACGGCGAGTTGAGTTGATGCCAAAGAGCTTGATTTTGGTCTCAACTGACCACAACACTTTCACCCAGTTCTCCTCTGAATCATTCAGATGTTCATTGGCAAATTTCAGACGGCCCTGTATATGTGCTTTCTTGAGCAGGGGGACCTTGCGGGCGCTGCAGGATTTCAGTCCTTCACAGCGTAGTGTGTTACCAATTGTTTTCTTGGTGACTATGGTCCCAGCTGCCTTGAGATCATTGACAAGATCCTCCCGTGTAGTTCTGGGCTGATTCCTCACCGTTCTCATGATCATTGCAACTCCACGAGGTGAGATCTTGCATGGAGCCCCAGGCCGAGGGAGATTGACAGTTATTTTGTGTTTCTTCCATTTGCGAATAATCGCACCAACTGTTGTCACCTTTTCACCAAGCTGCTTGGCGATGGTCTTGTAGCCCATTCCAGCCTTGTAGGTCTACAATCTTGTCCCTGACATCCTTGGAGAGCTCTTTAGTCTTGGCCATGGTGGAGAGTTTGGAATCTGATTGATTGATTGCTTCTGTGGACAGGTGTCTTTTATACAGGTAACAAGCTGAGATTAGGAGCACTCCCTTTAAGAGTGTGCTCCTAATCTCAGCTCGTTACCTGTATAAAAGACACCTGGGAGCCAGAAATCTTTCTGATTGAGAGGGGGTCAAATACTTATTTCCCTCATTAAAATGCAAATCAATTTATAACATTTTTGACATGTGTTTTTCTGGATTTTTTTGTTGTTATTCTGTCTCTCACTGTTCAAATAAACCAACCATTAAAATGATAGACTGATAATTTCTTTGTCAGTGGGAAAACATACAAAATCAGCAGGGGCTCCCTTTGTAGTCTGTAATAGTTTCAAGCCTGCAACTCCGAAGAGAGTCAGAGCCAGTGTAGTGTGATGATCATCTAGACCTGTATTGCTCTTGCATGTTTGTGGTTCGTCGGAGGTCATAGCGGGATTCTTATAAAAGGTCGGGTTAGAGTCCCGTTCCTTGAAAGCGGAGCTTCTACCCTTTCGCTCAGTGGGATGTTCCTGTAATCCAGGGCTTCTGGTTGGGGGTATGTACGTACGGTACTGTGGACGACATATCGATGCACTATTGATGAAGCCAAGTGATGATGTGGGGTTACTCCTCAGCTGTCTGAAGAATCCCGGAACATGTTCCAGTCTGTGCTAGCAAAACAGATCATTTGCATACTTGGCAGCAATAATTGCTACTGTACTGTACTGTATGTGTGAGACTTGTAGCCATGGCGACAGTATCTCTAGTAAACAGGCAAGTGCATGGAAAGAAGCTGGCGCTGTCACTCACACAGCTGATTGGTGGCCTGGGGACTGGGATGAATTTTGGGGCTAGTAGTCCCAGAGCCACCCAGTTACCACACCCCCAACCTCCTCCTCCTCTCCCTTCCTCCTCCCTCCTCCTCCTCCCTCCCCCTCCTCCTCCTCCTTCCCTCCTCCTCCCCCTCCTCTCCCTCCTCCTCCTCCTCCTCCAGGACTTGTGCAATAACATCTGTCACTTGGCAGAGACGTGACTCCTCTGTCAACAACTTCCTTCAACTAACTATTATCATTCTTCTCCCTTTGATCATACCCAACTTTTATGTTATTTTCTCCCTCTCTTTCTGTTTCTCTCTTTTCCTCTGTCTGTCTGTCCCTCCCGCCTTCTCCTCTCTATCAGGCTCTATGTCAGAGAGAGGACATGGAGGAGAGAATAACTACCTTAGAACGCAGGTAAATACCACAGTCTATCCACCCCCCTGAATACACCAAGGAATGTCTCTGGCCATAGGCAATTTTGTCTGTTGTGTTCAGTTGTAGGACATTACCTTCAAGATGCGTCTGCTGTATGTCATTGTGCTGTGTGCCTGCAGGTACCTGAGTGCCCAGAGGGAGGCGACGTCTCTCCACGACATTAAAGACAGGCTGGAGAATGACCTGGCCAGTAAAGACTCCCTCTACAGGCAGGTGGGTGAAATTACCTGCTTTCTCCTGGTTGTTTCTGCTAATGGGGAGGATTGGTGGTTTAGTGATGATAAAAGCTCTACATTTTGCATTCAGGGTTGATCATTATTTTTGTTACTGACTGTGAGGGTCAATTCCTTCTCCTCCTACTCGTCTTCCTCTCCCTTCCACCTCCTCCTCCTCCTCCTTCTCCTCTTCCTCCTCCTCCTCTCCTGCAGAGTGAGGAGAAGAACAGGCAGCTCCAGGAGCGTCTAGACGATGCCAAGCAGAAGCTGCAGCAGACTCTACAGAGGGCCGAGACGCTGCCTGAGATAGAGGCCCAGCTCGCCCAGAGAGTGGCTGCACTCAACAAGGTACACCACCTCCACTACCTGTGTGTGTGTGTGTGTGTGCTTGCATGTGTACGTGTGTGCGTGCGTCAAATCAAACAAATCAAATAAATATAAAATCAAAATATGAAATAGATAAATACCTGCTACGACCCCTGCATGATAATGGTTATGGCTTCACCACACATTCATCATACTATAAACCAAAGTAATTATAGTTCAGCCTCAGGTGCAGAACAAGTCAAGAGCTGTATGATAATTCATTGCTTGCATCACAAAACTGTCAGTCATAACAAATATGATTGTCAAGGAGATGTAAATATTTCAGTCATCAGCGTAACTTCCCAAAAAACCAATTATGTAGTACTTGTTGAGGCAAGATGGCTGAAATGTCACTCCAAATAAGATTAATGTACACTGACATCAGTGGAGGCTCCTCAGAGAAGGAAGGGGAGGACCATCCTCCTCAGTGAATTTCATAAAAAGAAAAATGGTAAAACATTAAAAAAGTTACCCTTTTTAGATAAAACTATACTAAATATAATCACGTCACCAAATACTTGATTAAAACACACTATTTTGCTATTAGATTCTACAGTAGCCTCAACAGCACTCTGTAGGGTAGCACCATGGTGTAGCCGGAGGACAGCTAGCTTCCGTTCTCCTCTGGGTACATTGACTTCAATACAACACCTAGGAGGCTCATGATTCTCACCCCCTTCCATAGACTTACACAGTAATTATGACAAGAAGGACATCCTCCAACCTATCAGAGCTCTTGCAGCATGAACTGACATGTTGTCCACCCAATCAAAGGATCAGAGAATGAATCTAGTACTGAAAGCATAAGCTACATCTAGCTAGCACTGCAGTGCATAAATGTGGTGAGTAGTTGACTCAAAGAGAGAGAAAGACAATAGTTTAACAGTTTTGAACAAATGTGTTTATTCCAAAATGAAGGAGAAGCAAGAGAGAGAGAGAGAGAGATTGTCACTTTTCACTTTCAGTTTCACTTACTTAGCTAGCAAATGCAGCTAGCTAGTTTAGCCTACTCAAACACCCTGCTCAAACAGAGGGATGCTATGTTAGCTAGCTGGCTATGACTATCCAACACAACACTGGAACTCTTCCAAGTCATGGTAAGCTTTTACTAATTTATTGCCACCGGGGCCCGCCGGTGTAACTGCTTTACTGACTGTACACTGTAACGTTACTAATTTGTAGCGGGTTTACTAACGCGTTAGCTAATACAACTAACGCGTTAGTTGTATTAGCTATGTTGACTATGACGTTACTTTAGCTAATATGGTGACAACGATATAGGGTATGTGTAGTGGTTATGATATGGTTTGGCTTGGAAAAAATTTTTTCCCCACCTGGTCACATACAGCTGATGTGTTGTGCATTGAAGTCCACAAGCGAAGGGACAAGGTGAGAGGAGGAGAGTGCATAGATGCGAGAAGGAATACGACGTGGCTGCTATGAAAGTGAACTGTGTTTATGCATGATCAGGGGTGTATTCATTCCGCCGATTCTGTTGAAAAATGTTTCTTAAACGGAAGCAAACTGAATAAAACGGGGATGAACATACCTGAATTTGTCCAATAGAAACTCTTGTTTGCAACTGTTGGACTAATGATTACACTCTATATCAGCTAGATGCAGGCAAGAGTGAGCAAGGCGGTATTGAATGTGTCACTGTCTTACCATGTGTCACTCAAATCTTTCTCTCAACCTGTGTGCACCTACTTTGTAAACTTTCATTCATAGGCTAAGTTGTACCTCATGATGGTTATAGGGAAAATTAGATTATCCTACTGCGTTTGACTATGATCTGCACAGACAGGGGATCACTTTCATCAAAAGGTTGACCCAACCCAAGGTTGCTCAATTATAATTCCTTTATGTTCTAACAACATTCTGACATGGTGACTCCCCACCCTCCTCCTCTTGCATCACAGGCTGAGGAGCGTCATGGTAACTTTGAGGAGCGACTGCGACAGATGGAGGCGCAGTTAGAGGAGAAGAATCAGGAGTTACAGAGGGTGAGTCATGCTCACGCTCCCTTTTTCTTTTTCTCCCTTCCACCCCCTCTTTCAAACCATTCCTTTATCACTCTTTACTCTACAATGGCATACTAATTTTCTAAACCCTCTATTTGACAGTCTGCACTCAGATCCCAATCTCCTTATCTTTCACTCAGTCAAGCAGAATGGTTGCTGTTCACTCTCCGCCCACCCTCGCTTCCACCCTCTCTCCTATTTTACTCTCTCCCTGCCTCAGGGCAGGCGAGGCACACAGAGTTTCCCAACTGGAGAGGCCTTGTCCAAGATGGCAGCAGGACCAACAGTAGAAACAATAACAGACATGAAAAGACCACTATTTAGCTCCCTAATCTCTCTCTTTTCTCTCTCCCCCTTCTTTCTTTCTCTCTCTCTCTCGCTATCTCTCTCTCTGCCTCTCTCTCTGCCTCTCTCTCTCTCTCTCTCTCTCTCTCTCTCTCTCTCTCGCTCTCTCTCTCCCCTAGGCGAGGCAGAGGGAGAGGATGAATGATGAACACAACAAGCGTCTGTCTGACACGGTGGACAAGCTGCTGTCTGAGTCTAACGAAAGGCTTCAGCTCCATCTCAAGGAGAGGATGGCTGCCCTGGAGGACAAGGTACTACTTACCGGCCCACTCACACTTTTTCAAACTTAGCATAGTTCCCACTCAAAACAGTCAACACTACAACCAAAACCCATACCCCTTCTCTTCACACTCACCTGAGTTCCCACTCAAAACAGTCAACACAATCCTCTTCATCCAGTTTCTATTCAAGACTGTTGTCACTTCAATATTAAAACCCACTCTGGCTCTAAACAGCTACTAAGGAATAAAGCTCAGACCTCATGTCATTGATAATGTGTAATTAATATGTTATTACACATATATTGTTGTTATGCAGTAGGCTTAATAAAGTTTTGAATGGTGATCCTTTCAGAATGCTCTCTCTGAGGAACTTTCTAACATGAAGAAGATCCAGGACGACCTTCTAGCAAACAAGGTATATCAAGAGATAATTCATTTTTTACTTGCTTTTATTCAATATTTCAATTGTATTAACATATTCTCTCTTTCTGTCCCTGTTTCAGGACCAGCTGATAGCCGAGCTGGAGAGGATTCAGCTGGAGTTGGACCAGCTCAGACTGAGACCCGGGGGGTCCTGCTATTCCAGGTCAGCCTCCCTCCCTCCCTCCCTCCCTCCCTCCCTCCCTCCCTCCCTCCCTCCCTCCCTCCCTCCCTCCCTCCCTCTACACACCTCCAACACACCTCCTACAGCTGCTGCCTATGAATGTGGCTGGCAGTATTGTAACCAAGTAGTAGAAGTGGTTTGCAGTGTTAAACACTTCCTATAACCTCTCTCTCCTATTTTCATTATAGAGATAGGGCTATACATTCAGGTGTGGCCTATACATATGGAGCAGAGAGGCTGGATGAATATACATTCCAGTTATCTCTCCCACTCACTGTCTATATTGGTCTATCTTTCCCCCCCCTCCCTCCCTCTCCCCCTCTCTCTCTCTCTCTCTCTCTCTCTCTCTCTCTCTCTCTCTCTCTCTCCTCTCTCCTCTCTCTCTCTCTCTCTCTCTCTCTCTCTCTCTCTCTCTCTCTCTCTCTCTCTCTCTCTCTCTCTCTCTCTCTCAGGTCTCTCCCAGGCAGTGCTCTGGAGCTGAGGTACTCCCACGGGGGCGGCTCCCTCCCCATGGGCTCCACCGCTCACTTGGATCACTACGGTAATGCCAACACCGTGGCCGTGGTCAGGCGGACTCACCGCGGACGCTGGAGCACAGCCCGGGAGGACCCCAGCAAGGTCAGAGGTCACATGATCGCATGCTCACCTTTGACCTGTCTAATATTCATAATGATATAGTCACATTGACTTACACTTAACACATCTATTCATTGGATGTTGTCTGTCCATTTGGGAATTAAACCCACAATTGTTATGTTGCAAGCATCACAACCCAACAAACTGAACCTTCTCTGTGTGTATGTGTGTGTGTGCCTGTGTGCATGCTTGCGTGTGTGTGTGTTTGTGCGTGTGTGTATGTATGCAGTACGGGGACTGGGACAGTGGGTCAGCGCTGCTGAGGACCGGGTTTGAGGGGGGTGTGGACCACGGTTGCTCTGACGATGAGGACGACAGAGAGACGCTGTTTGGCTCGGAGCTGCTGTCTCCCAGCGGACAGACTGACGTACAAACACTGGCCATCATGCTGCAGGAACAACTAGAGGCAATCAACAAGGAGATCAAGTAAGGGAGGAGGAGGGATGCAGGTAGAGGGGTGCTGTGATTGTGTACAAGCAGTTTAGGTCAAATACAGGTTTCTTTTCATTTTCTCCTAGAGGCTTCATTATGTTGATGTACTGTTCATTCATTGGACTCCTCTATTCTTATCTTCAGTCATTCACCCACACCCTGACACGCTCCTCCATTTCCCCTGTCTTTCTCTCTCTTCCCTTTTCACTTTCCTCTGTTTACCCTCTCTCTCTCTCTCTCTCTCTCTCTCTCTCTCTCTCTCTCTCTCTCTCTCTCTCTCTCTCTCTCTCTCTCTCTCCCCCTCTCTCACTCTCCCTCCCTCTTTCCCTACCTCTCCCCTTCTCTCTGTCAGGCTGATCCAGGAAGAGAAGGAGAGTACAGAGTTGCGGGCGGAGGAGATCGAGAGCAGGGTCAGCAGTGTGGCTCTGGACGGTTCCCCCATCCCCCCCTCCTCCCTAGGGAGGGACAGTCTGGGACGCGGCTTCATCCCTCAATCCCTCACCTCCTCCACCCTGGCCTCCCCTTCTCCCCCCAGTTCTGGGGTCTCCACCCCTCGCCTGCCCCACTCCCCTCACCGCGAGACAGATAGACAGGTATAGCTGCTCTGTCTGTGTGTGTGTCTGTGTGTGTGTGTATACATGCGTGCGTACATACTGTATAAGGCCCCTAAACGTGTTCCAACTTTCCCCTCCAGAACAACAAAGAGGATGATAGGTCCCTTGCCCTTCTTGACTCCACCCCTCCACCCACCCCTCGAGCGCTGCGACTAGACAGGATGACCCTCACCCACCCAGGGGCCATGATGGACGACCCCAGGGAATTCCGCAGGTATGACAGCCAATCATCATCGAGGAAACCCTGTAGTGCTCGTATGGTTCGTTCCTTCCCTGTTTCTCTTATTCCTTCTGTCTCTTCTGTCTGTCAGTCTGTCAGCAGATGGCAGTAGTTCCAACAGCAGTCAGGACTCTCTCCACAAAGCCAGTAAAAAGAAAAGCATCAAGTCTTCCATCGGACGCCTTTTTGGGAAGAAGGAAAAAGGAAGGATGGGCCCGGCTGGACGAGAGTCTGCCTCTCTAGGTGAGAGATAATTTAAATTATACTGGAAAAACTACATAACCCATGACTTTGCTTTAAATGTGTTTGAACTGCAAGAGGTCAAAGTCCACCTGGTGTTGACGCCCATGTTTGTAGTCTTTGTAACCCCTGACCCCCTGTGTCTCTCAGCCTCTACGCCTTCTGAGGACCTGGGTACTGGGGATTCTATGGGACTGACCAAGGGGAGCATGACAGGAACTGTTGACAACCGCCGCAGCAAAAAGAAGTGAGTCTCAGGGAATATCACCCTCCTATTCATTTCTCTCCTGGTGTCATTTCTCTTTCCTGTTCCTCTCCTTTTCTTCCTCTCTTTCAGAAATCACTTTTGGTTTTATGCTTATTCAACCTTTGTTTCCCCCGGTCTCTTTCTCCCAGACATGAGCTGCTGGAGGAGGCATGTCGACAGGGTCTTCCCTTTGCATCCTGGGACGGACCCACTGTGGTCTCCTGGTTAGAGGTAGATGTTTGATAGATAGATGGGAAACCTTTTATAGCCATATAAACCTTCACAATCAGTACATTCTAGCCAATCTGTTTCTAGCTCACCTCTTTCCCTCACTACTCCAGCTGTGGGTGGGCATGCCAGCATGGTACGTGGCAGCCTGTCGTGCCAATGTAAAGAGTGGTGCCATCATGGCCAACCTGTCTGACACGGAGATCCAGAGGGAGATTGGCATCAGTAACCCCCTGCACCGCCTCAAACTGAGACTGGCCATCCAGGAGATGGTGTCCCTCACCAGCCCCTCTGCCCCAGCCAGCAATCGCTCTGTTAGTAGTTTCACTAGTACACACTCACAGAACACAAACCGTGTAGACACAATTATAGAGGTACACATGATACTATATTGATATACACACATATACGTACAGGTAACTGCCAAAATAAAGGAAACACCAACATAAAGTGTCTTAATAGGGCATTGGGCCACCACGAGCCAGAACAGCTTCAATGCACCTTGGCATAGAGTCTACAAGTGTCTGGAACTCTATGGGAGGGATGCGACACCATTCTTCCACGAGAAATTCCATCATTTGGTGTTTTGTTGATGGTGGTGGAAAACGCTGTCTCAGGCGCCGCTCCAAAATCTCCCATAAGTGTTCAATTGGGTTGAGATCTGGTGACTGAGACAGCCATGGCATATGGCTTACATCATTTTCATGCTCATCAAACTATTCAGTGACCACTCGTGCCCTGTGGATGGGGGCATTGTCATCCTATGGGGGCATAGCCATGGTAGCCAAAATACTGGCCAAAATAATGGCCTGCGCAACATTTTTATACATGACCCTAAGCATGAAGCGATGTTAATTAATTAATTAACTCAGGAACCACACCTGTGTGGTAGCACCTGCTTTCAATATACGTTGTATCCCTCATTTACGCAAGTGTTTACATTATTTTGGTAGTTACCTGTATATGCACGTTTACATTATATGTGCAGAGATTAACATAAAAATGTTACATGCATTCACAGCAGACTCATCAACACAAACAAAATGGCAACTTTTTTGTTTTTCTGATGATCATGTTTTCTTTCTTTCCTGTCTTGTGACCACAGTCGACCAGTAACGTGTGGATGACCCATGCTGAGATGGAGTCGTTAAACGCAGCCACCAAACCGGTAAGTATGTTTGTCCTGTTATGTTAATGTCTCAACATTTTGTTACGTTACAGCCTTATTCTAAAATTGATTTTTTTTTTTATAATCCACAATCCACAGTGCATTCGGAAAGTATTCAGACCCCTTCACTTTTTCCACATTTTGTTACGTTACAGCCTTATTCTAAATTTATTTTATTTTTTAATTGAATGACAAATCGAAAACAGGTTATTAGAAATGTTTGCAAATGTATTTAAAATAAAAAACAGAAATACCTTATTTACATAAGTATTCAGACCCTTTGCTATGAGACTCGAAATTGAGCTCAGGTGCATCCTGTTTCCATTGATCATCCTTGAGATGTTTCTACAACTTGATTGGAGTCCACCTATGGTAAATGTAATTGATTGGACAATGATTTCGAAAGGCACCCGCCTGTCTATATAAGGTCCCACAGTTGACAGTGCATGTCAAAGCAAAAACCAATCCATGAAGTCGAAGGAATTGTCTGTAGAGCTCCGAGACAGGATTGTGTCGAGGCACAGATCTGGGGAAGGGTACCAAAACATTTCTACAGCATTGAAGGTCCCCAAGAACACAGTGGCATCCATCATTCTTAAATGGAAGAAGTTTGGAACCACCAAGACTCTTCCTAGAGCTGGCCGCCCGGCCAAACAGAGCAATCCGGGGAGAAGGGCCTTCGTCAGGACTCTAGAGTTCCTCTGTGGATATGGCAGAACCTTCCAGAAGGACAACCATCTCTGCAGCACTCCACCAATCAGGCCTTTATGGTAGAGTGGCCAGACGGAAGCCACTCCTCAGTAAAAGGCACATGACAGCCCACATGGAGTTTGCCAAAAGGCACCTAAAGGACTCCCGACCATGAGAAACAAGAATCTCTGGTCTGATGAAACCAAGAATGAACTCTTTGGCCTGAATGCCAAGCGTCACGTCTGGAGGAAACCTGGCACCATCCCTACTGTGAAGCATGGTGGTGGCTGCATCATGCTGTGGGATGTTTTCCAGACTAGTCAGGATCAAGGGAAAGACGAACGGAGCAAAGTACAGAGAGATCCTTGATGAAAACCTGCTCCAGAGCGCTCAGACTGGAGCGAAGGTTCACCTTCCAACAGGACAACAACCCTAAGCACACAGCCAAGACAATGCAGGAGTGGCTTCGAGACAAGTCTCTGAATGTCTTTGAGTGGCCCAGCCAGAGCCCGGACTTGAACCCGATCGAACATCTCTGGAGAGACCTGAAAATAGCTATGCAGCGACGTACCCCATCCAACCTGACAGAGCTCTGCAGAGAAGAATGTGAGAAACTCCCCAAGCTTGTAGTGTCATACCCAAGAAGACTTGAGGCTGTAATCGCTACCAAAGGTGCTTGAACAAAGTACTGAGTAAAGGGTCTGAATACTTATGTACATGTGATATTTCAGTTTTTTATTTCTAATAACCTGTTTTTGATTTGTCATTGACAAAATGTGGAAAAAGGGGTCTGAATACTTTCCGAATGCAGTTGAAGTCGGAAGTTTACATACACCTTAGCCAAATACATTTAAACTCTGTTTTTCACAATTCCTGACATTTAATCCTAGTAAAAATTCCCTGTCTTAGGTTAGTTAGGATCACCACTTTATTTTAAGAATGTGAAATGTCAGAATAATAGTATAGAGAATGATTTATATCAGCTTTTATTTCTTTCATCACATTCCCAGTGGGTCAGAAGTTTACATACACTCAATTAGTATTTGGCAGCATTGCCTTTAAATTGTTTAACTTGGGTCAAACGTTTCGGGTAGCCTTCCACAAGCTTCCTACAATAAGTTGGGTGAATTTTGGCCCATTCCTCCTGACAGAGCTCGTCTAACTGAGTCAGGTTTGTAGGCCTCCTTGCTCGCTTACGGTTTTTCAGTTATGCCCACACATTTTCTATAGGATTGAGGTCAGGGCTTTGTGATGGCCACTCCAATACCTTAACTTTGTTGTCCTTAAGCCATTTTGCCACAACTTTGGAAGTATGCTTGGGGTCATTGTCCATTTGGAAGACCCATTTGCGACCAAGCTTTAACTTCTTGACTGATATCTTGAGATGTTGCTTCAATATATCCACATAATTTTCCTTCCTCATGATGCCATCTATTTTGTGAAGTGCACCAGTCCCTCCTGCAGCAAAGCACCCCCACATCATGATGCTGCCACCCCTGTGCTTCACAGTTGGGATGGTGTTCTTCGGCTTGCAAGCGACTCCCTTTTTCCTCCAAACATAACAATGGTCATTATGGCCAAACAGTTCTATTTTTGTTTCATCAGACCAGAGGACATTTCCCCTAAAAGTATGATCTTTGTCCCCATGTGCAGTTGCAAACCGTAGTCTGGCTTTTTTATGGTAGTTTTGGAGCAGTAGCTTCTTCCTTGCTGGTCGGCCTTTCAGGTTATGTCGATATAGGACTAGTTTTACTGTGGATATATATACTTTTGTACCTGTTTCCTCCAGCATCTTCACAAGGCCCTTTGCTGTTGTTCTGGGATTGATTTGCACTTTTCGCACCGAAGTACGTTAATCTCTAGGAGACAGAACGCGTCTCCTTCCTGAGCGGTATGACGGCTGCGTGGTCCCATGGTGTTTATACTTGCGTACTATTGTTTGTACAGATGAATGTGGTACCTTCAGGCGTTTGGAAATTGCTCCCAAGGATGAACCAGACTTGTGGAGGTCCCCAAAAAAAATTCTGAGGTCTTGGCTGATTTATTTTGATTTTCCAATGATGTCGAGCAAAGAGTCACTGAGTTTGAAGGTAGGCCTTGAAATACATCCACAGGTACACCTCCAATTTACTCAAATTATGTCAATTAGCCTATCAGAAGCTTCTAAAGCCATGACATCATTTTCTGGAATTTTCTAAGCTGTTTAAAGGCACAGACAATTTAGTGTATGTAAACTGGAATTGTGATACAGTGAATCATAAATTAAATAATCTGTATGTAAACAGTTGTTGGAAAAATTACTTGTGTCATGATCAAAGTAGATGTCCTAACCGACTTGCCAAAACTATAGTTTGTTAACAAGAAATTTGTGGAGGGGTTGAAAAACAAGTTTTAATGACTCCAACCTAAGTGTATGTAAACTTCCGACTTCAACTGTATATATTGCTCTACAGTTATAACTTATACTGCTCAGTTAGGAGTCAAACTCTCTCTCTCTCTCTCTCCCTCCCTCTCTCTCTCTCTCTCTCTCTCTTTCTCTCTCTCGTTCTGTGTTTGTGGGACTACTATGCCTTAGTGTTGAGCATCTTCTTCTCTCCCTCTAATCTCTAGTTTCTGTTTCTGTGTAAACTGCTTCACACTAATGACCCGTTCACTAACACACTGTTCCTCCCTTGGTCTTCTCCTTCCTGTTTACCCTCTTCTCCCCTCCTCCCTCTGCTTTTCCTCCATCCATCTGTCTTCCCTGCTCCCCTATCCTGCTCTGCCTCTGTTCTCTCGCTCTATCTGCCCATGTCTCTCTCTCCTTTCTATCTGCTGCATCTAAGGAGCTGAAAGAGATTAGCTGGGATCAGGTAAGGAATGGAAGCACTGTGTTCAATATCATCAACATATAACACACTAATTACACTATTGTATGTGGCCATTGAAATACAAATTATCAATACAGAAAAGTACTATAAGTAATAATCGAGCTACACCACAAACAAATGAGACACTAGTGAAGGAGTCCTCTTCTGCCTCTCAGATCCTGGCTTATGGGGATATGAACCATGAGTGGGTGGGTAATGACTGGCTGCCCAGCCTGGGTCTGCCCCAGTACCGCTCCTATTTCATGGAGTCCCTGGTGGATGCCCGCATGCTGGACCACCTGACCAAGAAGGAGCTGAGGGGACAGCTCAAAATGGTGGACAGCTTCCATAGGTACGTACGGCTTGCTCGTCTGTCTGTCTGTCTGTCTGTCTGTCTGTCTGTCTGTCTGTCTGTCTGTCTGTCTGTCTGTCTGTCTGCCTCTCTCTCTCTCTCGCTCTCTCGCTCTCTCGCTCTCTCACTCTCTCACTCTCTCGCTCTCTTTCTGTTGCTGTTATTAACATCGGCACCTGGGTGGGTAGGCGTTTTCTGCCTCAAGGGGGTGGTGAAAAGCAAATAGACAAATTCCAGTTTCTGCAAATGAACAATGAAGTCTTCTTCTGTAACTGTCTCCCACTCCCACTATTCACTCACTGCCTTTCCTTTTCTGTCCTTCATTCTTTCTCTCCCTTTCTCTGTTGACACTCTCTCTCTCGCTCTCTAGTGTGTGTTCGTGGCATGGGAAACATGCAGGTGTTAAAGGATATGTTGAAACATTTCCTGCTGTTGTGACACTCACTCTGCAGGTGTGTCTCCAGGCCTTCTCAGGGTCAAAGACACCGGAGTGCTCTAATACTTTCTCTGAGTACAGGTGAGAGTCAGTCGACCATGCCCTCTATTAACCTTTTGACCTCTCTTGACCTTTCTCAGGGTTAGTTTACATTATGGCATAATGTGCCTGAAGCGCTTGAACTACGACCGCAAAGAGCTAGAGAGGAGGAGAGAAGACAGCCAGCACCAGAACAAAGGTGAGTTCCTCCTCTCTGACATTATATCCTCTGTTCCAATTCCATCCATCCATCCACCCATCCATCCATCCATCCATCCAATCCTCCATTCAGTAACAATCAAAGCCTTGATTGATGATTATGATTAAGGTTAGTAGAATCAGGTGTTTCACTGCTTGGCTTGAGCAAAAGTCTGCACCCACACTGGCCCTCTTAGTGTAAGATCCAGTCATCCTGTGGGTTTCTCTGCATGAGAATGTCAGGTGTTCTGATGTTTTCTGACAGATGCCTTCGTCCCACTACCCCTCTGTGTAGATGTGATGGTGTGGTCCAACGAGCGTGTGATGTGCTGGGTGCAGAACATCGGGCTGAAGGAGTACGCTGACAACCTGACAGAGAGCGGGGTCCATGGGGCTCTCCTGGCTCTGGACGACACCTTCGACTACACCGACCTGGCCCTGCTGCTGCAGATACCCAATCAGAACATACAGGTACACCCATCTAACCAATCAGAACACACAGGTACACCCATATAACCAATCAGAACACACAGGTACACCCATCTAACCAATCAGAACACACAGGTAATCACCCGTCTAACCAATCAGAACACACAGGTACTTACCAGCCTCACCCATCTAACCAATCAGAACACACAGGTACTCACCCATCTAACCAATCAGAATACACAGGCATGCACCAGCCTCACCCCACCCACTAATCAGAAATGTAAACGCACAGGTGAAACTGATCACGTCACTCATTAGAAGTGTTTGGACGCCTTCCCCTGCTCAGATGTTGCATGCAACAACCGATGGTTGTGTGCCATGTCATCGGTTATGTCGTCGGGGACCAGATTGCTATATTGAGTGGCGCAGCGGTCTAAGGCACTGCATCTTAGTGCTAGAGGCATCACTACAGACCCTGGTTCGATTCCAGGCTGTATCACATCCGGCCTTGATTGGGAGTCCCATAGGGCGGCGCACAATTGGCCCAGCTTCGTCCAGGTTTGGCCGGTGTGGGCCGTCATTGTAAATAAGAATTTGTTCTTAACTGACTTGCCTAGTTAAATAAAGGTGAAATAAAATAAAAATATTTATGATGTGGATAGCAGATCAATCAATCAATCAATCAATTTTATTTTATATAGCCCTTCGTACATCAGCTAATATCTCGAAGTGCTGTACAGAAACCCAGCCTAAAACCCCAAACAGCTAGTAATGCAGGTGTAGAAGCACGGTGGCTAGGAAAAACTCCCTAGAAAGGCCAAAACCTAGGAAGAAACCTAGAGAGGAACCAGGCTATGAGGGGTGGCCAGTCCTCTTCTGGCTGTGCCGGGTGGAGGTTATAACAGAACCATGCCAAGATGTTCAAAAATGTTCATAAGTGACAAGCATGGTCAAATAATAATCAGGAATAAATCTCAGTTGGCTTTTCATAGCCGATCATTAAGAGTTGAAAACAGCAGGTCTGGGACAGGTAGGGGTTCCATAACCGCAGGCAGAACAGTTGAAACTGGAATAGCAGCAAGGCCAGGCGGACTGGGGACAGCAAGGAGTCACCACGGCCGGTAGTCCCGACGTATGGTCCTAGGGCTCAGGTCTCTCAGTTGGCTTTTCATAGCCGATCATTAAGAGTTGAAAACAGCAGGTCTGGGACAGGTAGGGGTTTCGTAACCGCAGGCAGAACAGTTGAAACTGGAATAGCAGCAAGGCCAGGCGGACTGGGGACAGCAAGGTGTCAGCATGCCCGGTAGTCCTGACGTATGGTCCTAGGGCTCAGGTTCTCAGAGAGAAAGAGAGAACGAGAGAATTAGAGAGAGCATACTTAAATTCACACAGGACACTGGATAAGACAGGAGAAGTACTCCAGGTATAACCAACTAACCCCAGCCCCCCGACACATAAACTACTGCAGCATAAATACTGGAGGCTGAGACAGGAGCGGTCCGGAGACACTGTGGCCCCATCCGAAGAAACCCCCGGACAGGGCCAAACAGGAAGGATATAACCCCACCCACTCTGCCAAAGCACAGCCCCCGCACCACTAGAGGGATATCCTCAACCACCAACTTACAATCCTGAGACAAGGCCGAGTATAGCCCACAGAGGTCTCCACCACAGCACAAACCAAGGGGGGGCGCCAACCCAGACAGGAAGATCACGTCAGTAACTCAACCCACTCAAGTGACGCACCCCTCCTAGGGACGGCATGAAAGAGCACCAGCAAGCCAGTGACTCAGCCCCTGTAACAGGGTTAGAGGCAGAGAACCCCAGTGGAGAGAGGGGAACCGGCCTGGCAGAGACAGCAAGGGCTGTTCGTTGCTCCAGAGCCTTTCCGTTCACCTTCACACTCCTGGGCCAGACTACACTCAATCATATGACCTACTGAAGAGATAAGTCTTCAGTAAAGACTTAAAGGTTGAGACCGAGTCTGCGTCTCTCACATGGGTAGGCAGACTGTTCCATAAAAATGGAGATCTATAGGAGAAAGCCCTGCCTCCCGCTGTTTGCTTAGAAATTCTAGGGACAATTAGGAGGCCTGCGTCTTGTGACCGTAGCGTACGTATTGGTATGTACGGCAGGACCAACTCGGAAAGATAGGTAGGAGCAAGCCCATGTAACGCTTTATAGGTTAACAGTAAAACCTTGAAATCAGCCCTTGCCTTAACAGGAAGCCAGTGTAGGGAAGCTAGCACTGGAGTAATATGATCAAATTTCTTGGTTCTAGTCAGGATTCTAGCAGCCGTATTTAGCACTAACTGAAGTTTATTTAGTGCTTTATCCGGGTAGCCGGAAAGTAGAGCATTGCAGTAGTCTAACCTAGAAGTAACAAATGCATGGATTAATTTTTCTGCATCATTTTTGGACAGAACATTTCTGATTTTTGCAATGTTACGTAGATGGAAAAAAGCTGTCCTTGAAACAGTCTTGATATGTTCGTCAAAAGAGAGATCAGGGTCAAGAGTAACGCCGAGGTCCTTCACAGTTTTATTTGAGACGACTTTACAACCATCAAGATGAATTGTCAGATTTAACAGAAGATCTCTTTGTTTCTTGGGACCTAGAACAAGCATCTCTGTTTTGTCCGAGTTTAAAAGTAGAAAGTTTTCAGCCATCCACTTCCTTATGTCTGAAACACAGGCTTCTAGCGAGGGCAATTTTGGGGCTTCACCATGTTTCATTGAAATGTACAGCTGTGTGTCATCCGCATAGCAGTGAAAGTTAACATTATGTTTTCGAATAACATCCCCAAGAGGTAAAATATATAGTGAAAACAATAGTGGTCCTAAAACGGAACCTTGAGGAACACCGAAATGTACAGTTGATTTGTCGGAGGACAGACCATTCACAGAGACAAACTGATATCTTTCCGACAGGTAAGATCTAAACCAGGCCAGAACTTGTCCGTGTAGACCAATTTGGGTTTCCAGTCTCTCCAAAAGAATGTGGTGATCGATGGTGTCAAAGGCAGCACTAAGGTCTAGTAGCACGAGGACAGATGCAGAGCCTCGGTCTGACGCCATTAAAAGGTCATTTACCACCTTCACAAGTGCAGTCTCAGTGCTATGATGGGGTCTAAAACCAGACTGAAGCATTTCGTATACATTGTTTGTCTTCAGAAAGGCAGTGAGTTGCTGCGCAACAGCTTTTTCTAAAATTTTTGAGAGGAATGGAAGATTCGATATAGGCCGATAGTTTTTTATATTTTCCGGGTCAAGGTTTGGCTTTTTCAAGAGAGGCTTTATCACTGCCACTTTTAGTGAGTTTGGTACACATCCGGTGGATAGAGAGCTGTTTATTATGTTCAACATAGGAGGGCCAAGCACAGGAAGCAGCTCCTTCAGCAGTTTAGTAGGAATAGGATCCAGTATGCAGCTTGAAGGTTTAGAGGCCATGATTATTTTCATCATTGTGTCAAGAGATATAGTACTAAAACACTTAAGTGTCTCTCCCGATCCCAGGCCCTCGCAGAGCTGTGCAGATCCAGGACAGCTAAGCCCTGGAGGAATACGCAGATTCAAAGAGGAGTCCGTAATTTGCTTTCTAATGGTCATGATCTTTTCCTCAAAGAAGTTCATGAATTTATTACTGCTGAAGTGAAAGCCATCCTCTCTTGGGGAATGCTGCTTTTTAGTTAGCTTTGCAACAGTATCAAAAAGAAATTTTGGATTGTTCTTATTTTCCTCGATTAAGTTGGAAAAGTAGGATGATCGAGCAGCAGTGAGGGCTCTTCGGTACTGCACGGTACTGTCTTTCCAAGCTAGTCGGAAGACTTCCAGTTTGGTGTGGCGCCATTTCCGTTCCAATTTCCTGGAAGCTTGCTTCAAAGCTCGGGTATTTTCTGTATACCAGGGAGCTAGTTTCTTATGACAAATGTTTTTCGTTTTTAGGGGTGCAACTGCATCTAGGGTATTGCGCAAGGTTAAATTGAGTTCCTCAGTTAAGTGGTTAACTGATTTTTGTCCTCTGACGTCCTTGGGTAGGCAGAAGGAGTCTGGAAGGGCATCAAGGAATTTTTGTGTTGTCTGAGAATTTATAGCACGACTTTGGATGACGGTTGTATCTCAGTAACATCATCCCCAGACTAACTGCTGGCTGGTGGATGACGGTTGTATCTCAGTAACATCATCCCCAGATACTTCAAATCAAAATAAAATAGATGTTTATTGGTCACATACACAGATTTGCAGGTGCAGCGAAATGCTTTTCACACTTAAAATACCTATCCAGGCATTGTAAGATATGTCATGCGTCAGCAAAGCCTGGGCAGAGAAACACGCCCATAAACTGGTTTCTTACTGCACCTGTATCTCAGTAACATCATCCCCAGGCTAACTGCTGGCTGGTGGATGACAGTTGTATCTCAGTAACATCATCCCCAGACTAACTGCTGGCTGGTGGATGACAGTTGTATCTCAGTAACATCATCCCCAGACTAACTGCTGGCTGGTGGATGACGGTTGTATCTCAGTAACATCATCCCCAGGCTAACTGCTGGCTGGTGGATGACAGTTGTATCTCAGTAACATCGTCCCCAGACTAACTGCTGGCTGGTGGATGACGGTTGTATCTCAGTAACATCATCCCCAGACTAACTGCTGGCTGGTGGATGACGGTTGTATCTCAGTAACATCATCCCCAGGCTAACTGCTGGCTGGTGGATGACGGTTGTATCTCAGTAACATCATCCCCAGACTAACTGCTGGCTGGTGGATGACGGTTGTATCTCAGTAACATCATCCCCAGGCTAACTGCTGGCTGGTGGATGACGGTTGTATCTCAGTAACATCATCCCCAGGCTAACTGCTAGCTGGTGGATGACAGTTGTATCTCAGTAACATCATCCCCAGGACTAACTGCTGGCTGGTGGATGACGGTTGTATCTCAGTAACATCATCCCCAGACTAACTGCTGGCTGGTGGATGACGGTTGTATCTCAGTAACATCATCCCCAGACTAACTGCTGGCTGGTGGATGACGGTTGTATCTCAGTAACATCATCCCCAGGCTAACTGCTGGCTGGTGGATGACAGTTGTATCTCAGTAACATCATCCCCAGACTAACTGCTGGCTGGTGGATGACGGTTGTATCTCAGTAACATCATCCCCAGGACTAACTGCTGGCTGGTGGATGACGGTTGTATCTCAGTAACATCATCCCCAGGACTAACTGCTGGCTGGTGGATGACGGTTGTATCTCAGTAACATCATCCCCAGACTAACTGCTGGCTGGTGGATGACGGTTGTATCTCAGTAACATCATCCCCAGGCTAACTGCTGGCTGGTGGATGACGGTTGTATCTCAGTAACATCATCCCCAGGCTAACTGCTAGCTGGTGGATGACAGTTGATCTCAGTAACATCATCCCCCAGACTAACTGCTGGCTGGTGGATGACGGTTGTATCTCAGTAACATCATCCCAGACTAACTGCTGGCTGGTGGATTACGGTTGTATGCGTCAGGAACATCATCCCCAGGACTAACGGCTTGGGCTGGTTGGATGACGGTTGTTATCTCAGTCAACATCATCCGCATGCTAAACTGCTACTGGGGGATGACAGTTTGTATCTCAGTAACATCATCCCCATGACTAACTGCTGGCTGGGGTGGATGACGGTTTTATCTCATTAAACATCATCCCCAGGACTAACCTGCTAGGCTGGGGATGACAGTTGTGATCTCAGTAACATCATCACCAGACTTAACTTGGCTGGGCTGGTGGGAAGAGACGGTTGTTAGCTCAGTAACCAGCATGCCCCCCAGGCTAATAACTGTGCCTGGCTGGTGGATGACAGGTTGTAATCTTCAGTAACATCATCCGCCATACTAACTGCGGCTAAGGTGGATGGACGTGGTGAGCCAGTAACATCACCCAGGCTAACTGCTGGCTGGTGGATGACAGTTGTATCTCAGTAACATCATCCCCAGGCTAACTGCTGGCTGGTGGATGACAGATCTCAGGCATGCAAGTGAAACTGATAGCACTGTATATCAAATAAAGTGACTAACCTGATTCTTATCTGTACCCCCCCCCCCCCCCCCTCCCTCACATCTCTCCTCTAGGCCAGACAACTCCTAGAGAAGGAATACAACTCCCTCATCTCTATGGGAACAGAGAGAAGACCAGATGAGGTATTAAAGAAAACAGTACGCTTAGTTCAGAAATTATGTGAAGACTGCATTTTCCCCCCCTCATAAAAGTCATTCTTTCTAACATGATATTATGACAATGTTGACAGACATAACCTTTTTCTATTCTCTCTATCTCCCCCCTCCCCTCTCTCTTCCCCCTCTTTTCTCCCCCCCCGTTAGGATGGGACTAAGACATTCACCCGCTCCCCTTCCTGGAGGAAGATGTTCAGGGAGAAGGACCTGAGGGGGGTGACCTCGGACTCGTCGGAGACCCTGCCTGCTAACTTCCGTGCCTCCGCCATCTCCACGCCCTCCGTGACCCTGAGAAAGGTTCAGAGTGACGGTGAGTAGGATGACCCCTGACCTCTGACCCCTCCCTTTGGCCACGCTCTCAGTTTCCTATGTTCCGCTTCTTACACCTCCAGGGCTATTCTTCTATTATCACTCAGAAGGTCACGCTTTGGACAATATATGACCCCTTAAAACTCTGGATAACACATATTTACATATTTACTATGGGCTAGTTATACTCAGGGCTAGTATCGATAATGACACTTTTTTCAATTGGATAGCTGGGATTATGTACTGATCCAATGTCTGACCAGGCTTATCATGAGTAGGTTCAGCACCATGCAGATATCACAGAATATAAACTAGGCAGTCTGATTTATTAATAGATAAAAACAACATTTGTCTTGAGGCTGTTTGCATGTTACGTAAGAGAAGAAATGTAAGACCAGTGTCACATGTGAGTATGTTCCGATGTACCCCATTCATAGACGCTTACTAACTTTAGCGCCGATTGACGATAGTATTTTCTGTCCGGTAGAGTTTTGTTAAGAACCCCGACGCTTGCTCTAAACGTTAACATGCATCGCTTGCGGTACAGTTTTGGAAACATAAGGAACTGATCTTTCATTTCAGTGAGAAATCATTTTCTAAAAACAAAAGGTTACATTTCTACACACCTTTATAGGATTAGGGTTCCCACACGGCCATGTTTCCAATGTTACAGCGCTGTTTTGTATTTGTGAAATTATTTTGATGTGATATGAAAGTAGAGGGCTTTATGTTTCTATAACCGTATCACAATTGAGAATCGAATCACGTTTAGATGGAGTATCTGGCCATTTTGCCTCTAAACAGAACATGTAAGGTCCTTGGACTATAAGGAGTAACGTTAGGCTCCTTTAGTCTATTATTGGGCTAGTTCCAACGCTGATGGCATTAGCTTGGATATTCATATGCTAAACCTCCTTCAAATGGCTCGCTCCAACAGGACACAGCAACATCAGAGGGCAAGGCTACAACAATTTCCTCCTCCCACGACTTTATAATAGTACATCATGGAAAAGTTCAACACTATTTAGTCATTATTTTTATGATGTTTCTCTCTCTTTCTTCTTCTTCTCCCACAGTGAACTCTGGGCCTCGCGGTGAGGCAGCCTCAGTCAGGACATACTCTTGCTAAGAGACATGGAGGTGAGAAGCCCTCAATCGACACATTAAACACACATGTAGTAGCTAGTTAGAGTTCTCTCATGGTTTGCCTTCAGGTATGCCAGATAGCTTGCACATGTGCAAATTGAAGTGGCTCCACTTGTTTTCGAGCTACATTGTTTGTTGTGGTGCTGTGTTCTGAGCTTTGGTTATATACAGTGCCTTCGGAAAGTATTCAGATCCCTTGACTTTTTCCACATTTTTCTAGGTTACAGCCTTATTCTAGATTTGATTAAATTGTTTTTTTTCCTCATCAATCTACACACAATACCCCATAATGACAAAGCAAAAACAGGTTTTTAGAAATGTTAGATAATTTATTAAATAGAATAAACAGAAAATACACATTCAGACCCTTTACTCAGTACATTGATGAAGCACCTTTGGCAGCGATTACAGCCTCAAGTCTTCTTGGGTGTGACGTTACAAGCATGGCACACCTGTATTTGGGGAGTTTCTCCCACTCTTCTCTGCAGATCCTCTCAAGCTCTGTCAGGTTGGATGGGGAGCGTTGCTGCACAGCTATTTTCAGGTCTCTTCAGAGATGTTCGATCGGGTTCAAGTCCGGGCTCTGGCTGGGCCACTCAAAGACATTCAGAGACTTGTCCTGAAGCCACTCCTGCGTTGTCTTGGCTGTGTGCTTAGGGTCGTTGTCCTGTTGGAAGGTGAACCTTCACCCCAGTCTGAGGTCCTGATCACTCTGGAGCAGGTTTTCATCAAGGATCTCTCTGTACTTTGCTCCGTTCATCTTTCTCTCGATCCTGACTAGTCTCCCAGTCCCTGCCACTGAAAAACATCCCCACAGCATGATGCTGCCACCACCATGCTTCACAGTAGGGATGGTGCCAAGTTTCCTCCAGTCGTGACGCTTGGCGTTCAGGCCAAAGAGTTCAATCTTGGTTTCATCAGACCAGAGAATCTTGTTTCTCATGGTCTGAGAGTCTTTAGGTGCCTTTTGGCAAACTCCAAGCAGGCTGTCATGTGCCTTTTACTGAGGAGTGGCTTCCGTCTGGCCACTCTACCATAAAGGCCTAATTGGTGGAGTGCTGCAGAGATGGTTGTCCTTCTGGAAGGTTCTCCCATCTCCACAGAGGAACTCTAGAGCTCTGTCAGAGTGACCATCGGGTTCTTGGTCACCTCCCTGACCAAGGCCCTTCTGCCCCGACTGCTCAGTTTGGCCGGGCGGCCAGCTCTAGGAAGAGTCTTGGTGATTCCAAACTTCTTCCATTTAAGAATGATGCAGGCCACTGTGTTCTTGGGGACCTTCAATGCTGCAGACATTTTTTGGTACCCTTCCCCAGATCTGTGTCTCGACACAATCCTGTCTCGGAGCTCTACGGACAATTCCTTCGACCTCACGGCTTGGTTTTTGCTCTGACATGCACTGTCAACTGTGGGACCTTATATTGACAGGCCTTTCCAAATCATGTCCAATCAATTTAATTTACCACAGGTGGACTTCAATCAAGTTGTAGAAACATCTCAAGGATGATAAATGGAAACAGGATGCACCTGAGCTCAATGTTGAGTCTCATAGCAAAGGGTCTGAATACTTATGTAAATAAGGTATTTAAGTTTTTTCTTTTTAAGACATTAGCAAAAATATCTAAAAACCAGTTTTTGCTTTGTCATTGTGGGGTATTGTGTATAGATTGCTGAGGATTTTTTTTTTGTTAATCAATTTAAGAATAAGTCTCTAACGTAACAAAATGTGGAAAAAGTCAAGGGGTTTGAATACTTTCCGAAGGCACTGTAATTGTTTGTGGGTGAGGTCTTTAACGGCGGGCTTGGTTCATTGGTTGGTGGGTATTTGGTTTGAGTGAAGTCAGGAGGGCAGTGGTGTGTGAGAGTAATCCTGTGTTTCTCCTCAGGGCCATGGTGACTGGATCACGACTGGACTGCCCTCCTCTCATTCATTCACAGGAGGGGAAAGCAGCGGAAAAGCAATGAATATATACATTTATTAAATATAAATCTATTGGTCTGACCATTCTGCAATAACAGTGGTAAAGAAGAAATGACGAAGATGGAGAAACAACAAAGGGAAAAGGACATGAAGAATGTATGAAATATTGACAGGATCTATATTGTACGTACATGGATGGAAGGGTAGGATGAGGCAGGAAGACTGTTTTATCTCTCTCTTTGTTCCGTCTCAATATGTGGTTGTGTGATGTGGAGTTGTGTGCTGAGAAGGAGGAGAGGAGACTGGTGTCCAGTGTCACCCATTGTGGCTCTCTATCTGTTAGTTTCTATGGTGCTGTCAGGGGTTCCCCTAAGTTGGTTAGAGTGGTGCAGTAAAACCATGTCCCATTCAGGCCGCCATCTTGGCTCCAGCCACATCAGAGGGGCAGCAAGCCGCTCCTCTACTCATGGTTTATCCATTGGCACCTTGAAAGCTGAGAGGCTCTAGTGTAATCTCTTTTGAATGGAGTCTATTGTGGAGATCAAAGGCCGGGCCACAGCAGTGGAGATATGATGGGATGGGGGGCCACACAGAGGCATTGTGTTAAATGGCTGTGATGTCATTTAGTAGTTTGTAGGTATCCACTAAAGCCAGGTAAATTAGAGTGGGGGGACATGTTGTTGAGGCCAGGTTACATCCTGCAGGTCTAGTACAAAGCCCAGGGTAATGGCTTTCTGGATGTGGTGGACTTTACGGCTCTCATCATCAGCTCAGGTTCATTGGGTGCCCCTGAAAGACGAGGGGAAAGATAGAGGTGTGACGAAGGAGATAAAACAGTCAAAGTGACCAGAAGAAAAGAGGATGGAGACGATTCATTTACTGCACGCAAGCCATAACAGAAACCAAGACAGGAAGGATGATGAGCAGATCCAGGAAGAGAGAAGAGACCGTTGGAAGTCAAGAAAAACCTTTAGCTTCTGTGTTTCGATGCATGTCAAACAACCAAGATGACAATGAAGTCAACTTTGGGGGGGTGAAGATGATACACATATATCTGTAGAAATCAAACCTATGAGGATGAAAGCCTGGGGAACAATTTGTAAAATGTGTGTATTATTATTTTAATTTTTTATGTTTTTATGATAACTATATTTATTTTCGTTATGTATGTATGTATTGAATAATTGTATGTACATGTTCATTTAATACTTAATTCTGACTAATTTAATTTGACCTAGTTTGAAAAGTAAATATAAAACATAAAAAATTGTCATTAAAATATGCTACTGTATGTGTACATTTGGAAAACAAATTGTCTTATGATTGAAAAAATATATTAACGACGAAGATGATAATACAAGTTGAAAATGACACCTGCAACATAAACAATAATGATGATGATGATGATGATTAAAAGACAAAATAAAGTGTCTCGTGGTACTACACATCATCCCAAAGTGTGTTCTCACTTTGTGTATGTGGGGTTGGCACGTGTGTAGACAACAGGAGAGTGTGTAAGGGGAAGAGAGGCATTGGTTTGTGTATTTGTGAGAAGCATGTTCAGTATGTACACTACCGTTCAAAAGTTTGGGGTCACTTAGAAATGTCCTTGTTTTCAGAAGAAAAGCAATTTTTTTGTCCATTAAAATAACCTCCAATTGATCAGAAATACAGTGTAGACATTGTTAATGTTGTAAATGGCTATTGTAGCTGGAAACGGCTGATTTCTAATGGAATATCTAAATAGGCGTACAGAGGCCCATTATCAGCAACCATCAGTCATGTGTTCCAATGGCACGTTGTGTTTGCTAATCCAAGTTTATCATTTCAAAAGTCTAATTGATCATTAGAATTATGTTAGCACAGCTGAAATCTGTTGTGCTGATTAAAGAAGCAATAAAACTGTCCTTCTTGAGACTAGTTGAGTATCTGGAGCATCAGCAATTGTGGGTTCGATTACAGGCTCAAAATGGCCAGAAACAAATAACTTTCTTCTGAAACTCGTCAGTCTATTCTTGTTCTGGGAAATGAAGGCTATTCCATGTGAGAAATTGCCAAGAAACTGAAGATCTCGTACAACGCTGTGTACTACTCCCTTCACAGAACAGTGCAAACTGTCTCTAACCAGAATAGAAAGAGGAGTGGGAGGCCCCGGTGCACAACTGAGCAACAGGACAAATACATTAGAGTGTCTAGTTTGAGAAACAGACGCCTCACAGGTCCTCAACTGGCAGCTTCATTAAATAGTACCCGCAAAACACCAGTCTCAACGTCAACAGCGAAGAGGCGATTCCGGGATGCTGACCTTCTAGGCAGAGTTGAAAAGAAAAAGCCATATCTCAGACTGGCCAATAAAAAGAAAATATTAAAGATGGGCAGTCTGAGATATGGCTTTTGATGCTCCAGATACTCAACTAGTCTCAAGAAGGCCAGTTTTATTGCTTCTTTAATCAGCACAACAGTTTTCAGCTGTGCTAACATAGTTGCAAAAGGGTTTTTAATGATCAATTAGCCTTTTAAAACGATAAACTTGGATTAGCAAACACAACATGCCATTGGAACACAGGACTGATGGTTGCTGATAATGGGCCTCTGTACGCCTATGTAGATATTCCATTAAAAATCAGCCGTTTCCAGCTACAATAGCCATTTACAACATTAACAATGTCTACACTGTATTTCTGATCAATTTGATGTTATTTTAATGGACAAAAAAATTGCTTTTCTTTCGAAAACAAGGACATTTCTAAGTGACCCCAAACTTTTGAACGGTAGTGTATATACTGTATGTGCATATGACAGAAAGAGAGACAACACACACTGATAGATCACACCATTGACACTTGCCCGATGAGACCATTATACATAAAAATCATGATAAAATAAGTTATAATAGTTTATCTTTTACTTATGGAATAAGAAATAGGCCTTTACAATATACATACATGTATTATAAAAAGCCAGATGTATAAATATGTTGTACTGCATATACTATACAGATCCTTTATAACAGCTTCTTTGTGATTAGAGTGCAGAGTTCAAACTGCAAACTGAGTTGAATGGAATTCTTCAATGATCTAATGATCTAACTACAGGGAGAGACAGAGATATAAGGCTTCTGTGGTTGTCACACTGCTGCATGGTTTCTATTGGTCAATCAAATGTTCTGATCACATATGATTGGCTACACTGTAAATGGACTGTTGCTCTCATGACAACAGTATGGGCATCATGATGACACCCACCATTGTGCTCACAGTATACATGGCTCCATTCTCCTCTCTATCTTACTATTAAAGCACTCAGTGATAATGTTCTCTGTGAGACTTCACAAAGGAGGACTGGGGATGGTCAGTGCTCAGTATGGAGTGTTGAGCAGTATCAGGCTAAATCATTAGGTGGTGCCCCTTCCCCATTCAGAGCAGAGGCTGGAATCATGTAACAACAACAAACCTATCATTCCACATACCTTACTCTATAAATATACATAGGTACATACTTTCATACATAAAAGCATACTGTTCACATATTGTACACATATATAAAGAAATATATTAATATCAAACCATGCTTACATACAGTATTACTCAGCAATAACATGTATGATATGAAAACAATTATGAAACAAACAGTACTTTTCTAAAATCATTATTTTGATATGATAGTTTTCCCTAAGTTCTAGTGTTGAGGTTCATTTGTTTTTGTGTAGTCACTCGCACTGAGCCCGTGATGGGTGGTGGGGTTGTCTCACCTACACTCTTAAAAGAAAGTGCTATCTAGAACCTAAAAGGGTACTTCGGATGTCCCCATAGGAGAACCATTTTTGGTTCCAGGTAGAACCCTTTCGGTTCCAGGTAGAACCCTTTTGAGTTCCATGTAGAACCCTTTCCGCAGAGGGTAACCCCAAAAAGGGTTCTACCTGGAACCAAAAATGGTTCTCCTATGGGGACAGCCGAATAACCTTTTTGGAACCCTTTTTTCTAAGAGTGTAGCTATCAGAAGATGAATGCACTAATGTAAGTCGCTCTGGATAAGATTGTCTGCTAAATGACTAAAATATCATAAAATGTTGTGGGATTCAGAGAGAGCTATTAGTAAAGATAGAGAGAGGAGTGAGAGTGAGGGATGAGAGGAAGACAGACTGATAGGCACTGGTCCATGAGGAGAGGCTCGTCAGTCTAAGAGCAGAGGCACCCTGGCCTAGAAAGTAACACTTACTGTCTCACTGACATAACATCCAATGTCCCAAGCATTATCTGTGCTAACATTTCTTCCACATTATCCTCTCCCTCTCCACCTCTCCTCCATCTCCTGCCCTCACTCCCTTCCTCTGTAGTGCCTGGTTACTCTGGACAGTAGAACACACACGCAGGATGAGTTGATGCGGACCCACCTCCAGCCCTGCAGACCTCTGTTGTCAACAGTGAGGGCTCGGACATATGTGTCCTTGGCCTTACACTGACTCACCCACTGCCTGATATCCACGCCCCGGCAGCTGGCCCCGGACACACCTATGGCCTCTGTCCCTGTGCCCGCTGCCGAGGGCCCCTGCCCCCCCTGCCTCCCGCTGCGGCCCCCCGCCCCTCTGCTGCCCCTCCTGGCGGCAGCGAGTCTCATAGAAGTACTGCTTAAGCAGCCCCTTGACCGTCTTGATCTCTGGCACGATGTTGACCGTGTGACCCTTATCGTCGATGACCGTCGTCTTGTCCGTCACCCACACGCTCTCCGACTCGCACACCGGCATCTCACCCCGCCTGGTGTGGGACAAGTGCGAGCGCTTGTGCCTGTGGGCGGGGCGAGGGGGCTCCCTAGCCCCCCTGAGAGTGTCCACCCAGCTCAGCGGCACGCTCCCGTCTGTCTCTCTGTCCCCATGGCCCTCCATGTGTCCGTCTGCGTCCGCCACCTCCTCCTCCTCCTCCTTGTCGTCTCCTTCCATGGGCAGCATGCCTGACTCCAGCATGAGGAGGAGGGGTGGGTGCTCTGGAGGAGAGGCAGAGAACAGGACCCGCGGATGTGCATCTAAAAACACCAGCTCTTGCTTCTC